GTGTTTAACAAACTGCTGACAATTTTCTCTCAGTCTGTTGCAGCCAACCTTGTTTTTTTGCCGTGGTGTGCTAAGGAAGTGGGATCCACTAGAGGCCAATAAACAGAACAAGTAAGTGAGGAAGGCCAGCTCTGTGGTGGGTCTGCAGCTCCACAGTTTAGAGTCGATGTGTGAAAAGAGCATGGTGGATAAATGGAGTGCCATCCTGATTAACCCCTTTCAACCTCTTTTTGAAGAACTGTTGCAGACAGGCATCTCTTTCTGCCAGTGATTCATACCTCCAAGGAGCAGAATGAATGCTTCAGACACTTTTCTCCACCTTCTGCTGTGAAAGTTGATCCTATTTGAGGAATGTGTTCTTTTCCTGTTATTACTATAACTCCTGATACTAATTCTGTTTTAGGCCCCGTCCACACGAAGTCAAACCCTGGCCTAAATTCACAAATTGTTCACCAAACCAGCCTCTCATCCATACGAAGCCGGCGTTTCGGGGTCTGTAAACGATCCTTATTTTTATTAAGCCTTTAGAGTGGGAAGATTTTGAAACACCGTTTTCACGGTTCCATCTTTAAGCTCTGACCGCATTTTTTTTCTTACACGCATGCGTCATATTATCGCCTCTAAACACGCATGCGCGACACAGTATCGCAACAACAATGGCGCCGTACTGTGTTGAATGGTTGCTGCTCATGCTACTCACCCTGCTGTCGGGCTTACAACAGAATCTTCTTCTTCTGGAATATCTCCAGGAAGAACAGAGCAATATAGACGACATAGTTCAGCACCTGAATTTGACTGAACCACGAAAATGGACCCGCAGGGCCATTTTCCGGTTTTCCGGTTTGGTTGTTGTATAAATATTACTGCGCATCCCCAACATTTCGTTGCCTGTTTTCGCCTATTTTTGCTTTGGCACCACAGCGCCACTTACAGGCCTGGCATACATTTTGCAGCGTTTTCATGCATTCATGTGGTCGATCACATTTATTTTATGTCTCCGTCTTTAAGACAACCGTTCTGGAAAATATTAGTGTTTCGTGTTCGTTTTGACTTTGTGTGGACGGGGCCTTAGTAAATGCTACTCTTCTCCTATTAGTCTATTAGTGTTATGATCACTCCTACTATCGATAGTCCTCCTATTAAAAACAACACAACTATTATTATCATTGAAACATTTAATTGAATAAACAACATGTTTGTTTGTATTTTAAACTTCTTTATTCATTGTTTGAAGGTAATTTATCATGGATCAGTTTAATTTTTTTACTACAAAAATTACATATATGCATCCACCCTTAAAGAAAAATCCCATGGGTGTCACATGTTAGCCTCGTGAGACCACCCTGATCTCGCGAGCTTTCAAGGTTTCACTCGCTAATCAGTCTGGAGACTCTCCGTTAAAGAAAATTTGGATCCGTTCACTAAATGAACGTCCAATCAGCGTTGGCTTTGAGGCGGGTTGAGGTGTGACGCAACGAGAAGCGCGACAGTTCAGTCTAAAGAACATGGCGGCTTTAGCCGATGAAACTAGCGTTAGCGTGGCTATCGAGCAAGTTTTATCGGAATTACAGAGTATTTCTTCACTGAAAGAAGAGCAAAACACTGCTCTGGAGGCTTTTCTCAGAGGAAAAGATGTTTTTGCTCTTCTCCCGACTGGTTTCGGCAAGAGTAGCCTGGCTTGTGGTTGTGTTTTTGTCGTCGCTCTGTTAGTACGTCATATGCTTCGTTGATCTGATTGGTTTATTTGGCCCGTCTATCACCAATATAGGCCAATCAGCTAACCAGTATTTTCGCCCCTTTTCCAAAATTACTTCAACGGAAGGTTTCCAGATGGATATGCAGAGCAAATCCATCTGGCGGAGTCAGGTTATTCACATGTGAGGAATCACATGTAAACGAACACATGTGAAACACATTTTAAAGCAAAGATACATTTGATTTTGAAACTCTCATATTAAATGCGCGAATAACATGTAAAAATGTGTGTAATGCATGTTAATCACATGTGATACATATGAATCTTTATTGCAAATTACATATGATTCCCATTTTAAGTACGTGTGATTCACATTCAATGGAAAACTTCAGACTCCATTTTTCACATGCTTTTCAGTTTCATCGGATGGATATTTGGTCACACGTGAACCTTTTTTTCTTTTTATAAGACATTGCTCCACGGTAATATAAACTAACAGCTGTGAATAAGGACATACGAAAACAAATATATTTGAAAAATGTAGACACATTCATTTATTTGTGTTTTAAAACTATACGGAATCAGAAAGAAAAACTTAAGACATCTAAACAGGAAACCTGAAATCTGAATAAATGGTTGATGTTGTAGAGTGGTGTCAGTGCTTACTAATAAACTCCTTATTACATTTTTGAACATTTTAATAATGTATAGTCATAAGTACATTGTAAGTTGTCTACATAAAAACATACAGTTGTATAACAATATACAATAAAACACAAATATTTTGACTTTTTGACAAATGTATTACACAGAGTGCAATCAAATTATATTCAATATGAGAAAAGAAATTTAATATGTGCTGCACGTGTGAAAAATATGCCGTCACGCATTATAAATGTGGTCAAAAGGTAAATGGAACTGGCAATACATGAACGAATTGTCATGATGTTGGCTCTGATGGCTAGCTTAATTGCCCATTCCATTCACCTGTCTAACTCTTCCCGGTTGCCCATTACCACTCATAAGATCCACCTGTTTCCAGCTACTATTTATGCTGCCTGTTTTCCAGCCATCTGTGCCAGATTATGTAAGCCTAGTGTGAGAAGTATCTAGTGTACCCCATATTGTTGTTTGACTACCTGAATCCTGACCTGTTTTTGTCCCTGGATTCCTGAGTTTTTCTCCTGTTTCAGCTCCAGCAACACCCTGAGACAAAAACTAGTTCACCGCAAAGACAAGACACCAAGGAAACAAGACTGACAACATGCTTAATGCCATTTAGTGTAGTGAACAGTGCACAGACCTGTACATTGGAGACCAAGAAACCTCCACACAGGCACATGGCTCAACACAGGATGCCCAACTCCTTGAGGACAGGACTCAGCTGTTCACCTACACCTGAAGGCTAAAGGACACTCGTTTGAGGACAAAGACATCCATATTCTGGCCAAGGAAGACAGATGGTTTGAGAGAGGGGGTAAGGAAGCCATCTTTATTAACCTGGAAAACCATCTCTCAACTGAGGAGTAGGTAGCCCGGCGTACGCTGTGTGATTTTCGGGGTGATTTTTCAATCGTGCGAGAATCTTTTGATTGGGCCGACTTTCAGCCTGGTCGTGAGTCATGTAGTGTACAGGGGCTTACGAGGGGCGATCAGCCTCTCACGACCACCTCCCGATCAGGATTCATGGGCAAAGCGCTCAGTGCACATACGCAAAGAAGGATTCTTCTGTAAACACAGCAGCATGGCAGGGATGCAATGAGTGAAATGCAGTTCTGTCTGTAAAATTGACAGACCGTAGTAGCCCCGTTTGCTCAGCCATGTTTTTTGTCCAAATACGTCGTCGCCTTTTCTTTTTAGGGTCAAGGCAGCACGTTTCACTCTAGTGAGCTTCATATTCCCCTTCTATTTGTTTGGCTTCCGGATAGACGAGTCAGAGCAGCTCCATCTCACTGCGGAGCTGAATCCAACATGGTAAGTCGCACAGTGTGAGCAGGTAGATCCTATCAGAGGGTTGGGTCGAACATAAATCGTGAGCTGTGAACTCACACTGTACGACTAAACCCTGCGATGTTAGTCGTACAGTGTGAGCTGTAGCTGCGTGCAACGACTGAAAAAATCGCACAGTGTACGCCCGGCGTTACAGAGCACTTTTAGGAACAACACCCTGAAGATTAACCACTCACCTGTCCTCACATGACTGTCACTTCAGTGTGACCAAAATCACTCTGGCAAGGAAGTTAACGACCCATCAGAACCCCCCTCCCCCCAACGACCATTAACACCCCCCAGGTGACCTCCATGGCCAATCCAGTAGGAGGGATCAGAGCCACCTTTTGTTTGTTTTTTCCCTAATTATTTTGTTACACCTGTAGTTTATTAAACTCAGTGCTCCCCACCAACAGTTAGAACTTAGATAAGAGGCAAAACATCTTTTAGAAAACTTCACATCCAGTTTCCTTAATTGCACTGGAAAAAATCTAGATAAGTAATTTTTTCTTAAAATAAGTGCATTTGTTCTTGGATTGAGGAGGTAAAAGATATATTTTGCCAATAGAACAAGACAATTTACATTTGAAATAAGAAAACACAATTGCATTGTCTTATTTCAAGTGCATTATATCTAATTATCTTATTTTAATAGTAGAAATAGTCATTCCATTAGCAAATTATCTCATTTAGATTAGATTAGATTAGATTAGATTAGATTAGATTAGATTAGATTAGATTAGATTAGATGAGCTTTATTGATCTCACAGCGGAGAAATTCACTGGTCACATATTGGCATAGAAGTCAAAGAGGGTGCAAACAAGGAGCAAAAGGTGCATTAGGAATAAACAATATATATACACTATATCCAGGTATATAAAGTATATCAAGATGAATAAGGATTAAGGCTAAATGCGCTTAGTTTAAGAAATTGTTACTTATTTCAAGATTGTTTTTCCATTGTGTACTTTTAAGGGTTGACTTTGACCTGCATGACTTAGAATCTTCACAGATATATCAGAAGTTTAGGAGTTTTTAATGACTGGTTGACTGGTTCACACCCTTGCATGGGCTCTGGTGAAATGTGCCAGACTTTTGTTTCTTTTGGGCAAAGGTTGATGTGTTTATTCTCCCTTTAAAGTGTTTACTTCCTTCTATTTGTGATCTCTGTCATACATACAGCAGTTCTTCTACACGTGGTCATGATTTCAAACTATTTCAGCTCACAGCATGTATTTTTTTTGTTTTGTTTCCTTCAGGGGAACGGGGTTTATTTTTCTGTCAGTCTGTTTTTTTCCTCCCTTTTTCCCTCCCTCTCTCTGACTCTCCTGTCCATGCCCAGAAATACCTTCCTTGGAGGAGGTCAGCAACTTACGCCTGTGCGTTCAGCAAGTCTTGGAAAACGTGGAATCTTCTCTAAAAGAGGGCAGAGGAACATCAGAACGTAAGTATAACTCAACGAAAAATGTTTGATCTTTTACTCCAAATGTTCTCTCAACTGAAACACAGGAATTGGAATTAAGTTGCCTGCTCCTGCTCTGATAGTCTCTTTTTTCTGTGTCTACCAGAACACTTTTATGTCAAAGCGAAACTTAATGAAAGGCAGATTTATTCAATTTAAGACATTTAAGCTCTCATCTTCTCCAAAACCGTTGAAATTCTATGATTAATTATTCTGCAGAAAAATATGTGACAAAATCCTAAGTGCTTTGTATTAATAATTCAACATGAACTGAAGATTTGAAAAAGGAAAAAAAAAAACACTGTTTTTTTTTCAGGTTCGCCGCTCCTGGAGAAGATGATGATGGAGGTTAAATTGATCCCTTGCTGCGTCTCATTTATCCTGATGGCTGTGACCATAAAGGCTCAAGTCAATCCAGGTAGAAACTCTGTGATACGGTTCATCTGTCAGCTATAGTAGTGAGGAGACTCTGAACCATTTGGTTCCTAAGATTAAACCAAGTTTTAGTTTCACATAAGTATTTAAGAAAAACAAACAAAACTTTCAAACGTGTAATAATGAAAATAAAATCGAGACATTTTCTTTGTAGACCTGAGGTGTTAGCATATTTTTAAGACATTTTGGGTGGGTGGCCTAAGAAGGCATGATGTCTGAATGTGTGTGTGTGTTTGTGCATGTGGTTTACCCAATGGTCAGGAGGTAAACATCCTCATTACAAGCAGACCTTTCACAGGTAGGGGTGTGTGGGTGTTGTAGAAAGTTTGTTGGCATGCCTCTGGGTAAGATACACCTTGGCATATATTCTCCACACGTGACCAATTAGAAATATCCTCACATTTAAAGATTTTATTTTTGTTTGCAATCATTTACCATGAATCAAAAAAAAAAAAAAAACAGTGACTGGGAATAGAAAAAAATATCATTGTTATCCTACCTGCTGTATTTGGGATTTAACGTTTCTTTTATTATCTCCACTCCTTTTTGTCTAATTGACCTTTTAAAAGGGGAAAAATTTCTCTTATCCTCCATTTTGGCAGAACTCATGAAAACGGAGGAAAATGAAGAGCAGGCAGTTCAGTGGACACTCCCTTTTCATTTTGCTTAGACTGGCACCCACACAGCGATGCCTCTGTTTGGCTTTAGAGGCCATGTAGGACTGCAGGAAAAGGGGCTGGGGGGGGGGGGGGGGTTGGGGTCGGGTTCAGACCAATTAGCTCTCAACTCAGGTCCTGCAAAAATATGAAAAAGGGAGAAAAAATGACTCTTGAAAGTGTTTCCTCCTCGCAAGAATATTCCTATTCATCATAATAAGAATAATTTTAAGGTATTTACTCAATAAACCAATAAAAACTGTGGATATGATCCTAAATTGTGATAAAAAGACACTGTTTTAAAGCTGAATCGTCATTTTCCAATTTTAATGCTATTTATTGCCATCAGACCTTATTTTCTTCTAATGCTATTTTGCAAAGATCATATCAACTTACAAAATTTAAAAGCACATAAATTAAATATGAAGTGTTATGTCAACTGAGGTGAAAGAAGCACAGAGCTACAGACTCCACAGCTCATCTCTGCTGAAGCTGCAGCCTCTCCTGGGGAGAGACTCCAAATCAATAAAATAAAATTGAGATAAAAATTCAAAAAACAAGAAAACTTTGGTGGAATTTGTTCATTTAGATCAGGCATCCCCAAAGTCGGTCCTCGAGGTCCGCTGTCCTGCAGGTTTTTAGAGGTTTTTCTGCTCCAGCACAGCTTCTTTACATTGGTAGCTGATTAACAGGCTTTTGCTGAACTGCAATCATCAGAATCAGCTGTGCTAAAGCAGGGAAACCTCTAAAACCTGCAGGACAGCGGACCTCCAGGACCGACTTTGGGGATACCTGATTTAGATCATTACAGCTCATCATGTGCCTCATATGTCTCCATTTTAAATGTTAGAGGGCCCAAAAAATTGTACCTGAGTAAAAATAGCACTACTTCATCCTATTTTGACTCAAGTGAAACTAAAGTCAAACTCAAACTCAAGTTTTTGTACATTTAAAAACATTTGAATTTTAAGATTTGGTTGACTTTAAGACCGCTCAATTTATGTAAAAAGTAATAAGTTATTTGTTGCCAGTACATATTCAGGGTCTGTTTTTGATCAGGGACAGTGCTTACTGTCTCAGAGGGTATAAAATGTTCAGAAAACCAAAAGCAAGAACAAAAGTAAAACAACATTGTAATTTCTTTTGTTGGGGTTGATGTATTTAACAAATTAGACCAGGAGCTAAAAGATTGTACATTAACAAGGTTGAAAAACATATGACAGAATAATGGGAACATGGGAATGCAATTAAGAGCAGTAAGATATTGGGTGCGTTATCCTTATTTTTTATTTTTTTCTTTCCTTTTCCGAAAAAAATTGTATTATTGTAGAATAATAATTTTTCCTAAAATCATTCGTTGGTATGTATTATAAACAGTAGCCATCTTTTTATCTTTTGCTTTCTAGTCCAATGTAAATTGGCTTCGGAGGGTGGCCATTATAAGCTTCTTGCTTCTGCCAATACACCCTTTTTTCAGACTGTTTTAATTGATGTTATATGGACATATGCTGTCTTTATTATATCATTGTATGTCCGAAAATAAATAAATGTAATAAATGCAAGTAAAATGCATCCTTTAAAGGAATCACTCATCTAAGAGAGGAAGTATTTGGTAAAAGTTACTCAAGTAGTGAAGAACTGATCTGCTTACTAACCATGATCATAACCATTGCTTTAATATTTTACAAAATGATGTAACATACACAATAAAAAATAGGTAGAATGAACATTCTTTAAAAAAAAACAAAAATTGAGTTATAAAATGTACAAAATCAACACTAAGAAAGTAGTATATGAAAATAGACTGAATTACAGTATACAGTTTATTGTATTTTTATTTAACCTCCACATCACACAGCAGACTCGGCAGATTTGATTGATTGATTGATTGATTGATCAATCAATCAAAGTTTATTGATCACCAAGTAGAGAAATGTACTTGTTACATCAGCTTAAATAGTCAAAGGAGAAAAATGTGCCAAAGGAAGAAAAAGGTGGTTGAGATACATACAGCATATACAGTGCGTCCATATGCGACAGCTTTTTTTTTTTTATCTAACACGTAATCCTTGAGTGGAAAAAGAAGAATGTGTTTTAACAACGCTGCATATTTGTTTAAAAAAAGATTGTTTTAGTTAAGTGAAGTTTCTCAAAATGGATGAAGTGACATAACATTTTACCCAAGAGTAGTGATACTTTGTTTTTACTCAAGTAAAAGTGAAAAGTACAATGTTGTAAAACTATAACTACTACTCGTAAAAGTAATTTTTTCTCTAAAAGGTTACTCAAGTAGATTTAACTGAGTAAATGTAACTAGTTACTATTCACATCTGAGTACAAAGATGTTTTAGTAAACTTTGCAGGAATGGGAGTGGTTTACTATACCAAGACTGTCAGAATTTTATTTTTTTTTAAATACTTCTTTCTAAGTATATTTGCATTTCATTGGAACTGGTAAGTAAAATGAAGTTCTGTATATATAATTATGTAGAGGCCAAACAAATTAACATATATAATAATACATTTTGTTATCAGTTTTTACATTAAAAGTCTGCCCCCTCCCATATCATGTAGAAAGCAGTATTGTTCAGTTAAAAGTTTTAAATAAATGAGTGGCTCTCACATACGGAAGAGGATTAGGGCCAGTGGAAAAAAAAAAAAAAGTTAACTAATTTTTAAATTTTATTTCAGTTTAGTATGGGAAAAAAGTCAGAATTCTGAGAAAAAAGTCAGAATTCTGACTTTAATCTCAGAATTCTGACTTTTTTCCCACGTTAAACTGAAATAAAATTTAAAAATCAGTTAATTTTTTTTTTTCCAGTGGCCCTAATCCTCTTCCATACTCACACATTTAGTCAAAATACATACATAGATTTATGCTGTGAAATGATTTATGCCATTTTATTTTGGCTTTAGGTTAAGAAAATTCATCCTGTTTTAACAGTTAGGGGAATTCTGGAGGCAAATGGTTGCACTGAGTTTTATTTAAGAGCATCAAAGGACAAGAGTCTGGGAAAAAAAGAAACCCAAACTTTTCAAATTTCTGCAGAGATGGGTAGAGTACCCAGAAATTGTACACAAGTAAAAGAAGCACTACTTCATTGCATTTTAATTAAGTTAAAATAAAAGTGAGTTATCAAAGAAATAACTAGTATTTGGTAAAAAGCCATCCATAAATACTGAGCAACTGATTTTCTAACTACGCGATATCAGATCAAATGATTTAATACATTAAAAGTGTGAAGTTACACAGCATATAAAGTTATATGGAAATTCTGCCGTTTCAAAGAATGAGGTAAATATATACAGCGTATATGAAAATATAACATTTAGAAATTAAGCAATAACAAATTTATGTGGAAGGAATGCTCTTCAAAATACATTTTTTTTTACAGTATACTGTTTGCTGTATTTACACTGTCAATAGATGGACAATAACATAAAAACCAATAAGCCTTGAGTACAAAAAAGAAGCAGGGGTGTCTCTGGCAATTATGTCTAAAACAATGTTTTTATGAAGCATAGTTAGTCACGATGGGTAGAGGAGTCCGAAATTTTAGTCAAGTAGGAGTAATGATTCTCTTTCATGTTTTTACTCAGATATAATTTAAAAAGTATTGTTTGTTTTTTCTAATTGTTAATTTTCTCAGTTACACAAGTAAATGTAACTGAGCAAAGTTAAATAATTATCATGTACCTATGGATTTGTTTGGTAAAGTTTTCACTCTGTGTAATTTTCTTTCCACTAAATGCTTCTGTGTCTGTTTATCATATATAATTCCTCTGATGAGAGCCTGAAAGCATTTATTATCCTAATTGGTTGCTTTATGTTTGCAGAGATGTGTCGCTATCCTCTGGGCATGACTGGAGGGCAGATCCAGGACGAGCACATCTCTGCTTCCAGCCAGTGGTCAGAGTCTACTGCTGCACGATTTGGAAGGTAACTTTCATTCCCTATTTTGATTCTAACAGCTCGGCTCAGTTTTATTTGCATTCTAAATAAGCTGAGAGTCAATAAAGCATGGAAAGTGTTCCTAGACTCCATGTCCTTCCTTTCCTTCACTGCCTCCTTTCCCTTTTCCCTCACCCTCTGCAGACTCGACTCTGACACCGGCGACGGCGATGGGGCCTGGTGTCCTGACATCATGTCAGAGCCAGATGGCTTCAAAGAGTACCTCCAGGTAGATCTGCGTACGCTGCACTTCATCACCCTTGTGGGCTCCCAGGGTCGCCATGCAGACGGCATGGGGAACGAGTTCGCTAAGAGATACAGAATAAAGTACAGCCGGGACGGCAGCAGCTGGGTGGTGTGGCGTGATAGGATGGGGAATCAGGTGAGGGCCACAGATTAATGATTGTTTTGATTATATCTCTCGGAAAGTTAATAAAAGGGTTTTTGATGCAAAGCCATGAATCTCTGCATCTCTGATTTGAGTATGGCTTCATGATGATGATGATATAACTACCGTACACCTAAACAAGGTTAAAGGTGCCTAGTCACGTTAAATGCCTCTACAAGGACCCCAGAATATTTGAGCCTTATATTATCAGGTTTTACATCAAGTGTCCATCCTGAGATTGTTTATCTATCTATCTATCTATCTATCTATCTATCTATCTATCTATCTATCTATCTATCTAAAATGAAATGAGGGAGAGCATATGGCTGGATTCAAAGCTGAAGTTTGAAGTAGAGATAAGAAATCTAGCAGCCTTTAACTCATATCTGAATGCGAAACACGGTGCAGCTCTTCAGATCATGGCTGAATTTTTTCATCTCCACTAAAGTTGAAATCCGGCACTGATCCACAAATCAGACGAGCACTTTGAATTCTGTGACAACCTGGGTCCTTCTGTGGACTGACAGAACAGACAGCTACACCAGACATGAAACAAAAGAAAACCCTTTGAGTGTTTTTTCTCTTTTAACTCAATAAAATCTTAACTTTGTATTTGTTTCTTTACAATAACAAATACATTTAGGGGCATCTCTACCGGGGGCAAGGGCACAACTGCTGTAGAACCTGCCCCCTTGGCTGCCCATCACTTTTATATCATTTAAATGCTTGATAAATGATTACTAACTCAAGTTCATCATTTATATTTTCTCTGGCATAACGAAAAACAGATGAGTAGTAAGCAACGACTGTAAGATTTAAGAATGGAAGAATGATAGTATCTTAAAAGATACATTTATACAATCTTTTTCTGTATTTTATTGATTTCGCTTAAATCTTAGAGATTTTTCAAATATTTAAAAGAAGCTTTTTCACCCTGACCAGACATTTTGTGCCTCCCTCTCCTCCCCCCTGTTAGATTTTCTACATCTTATATCACATAAATCTTATCTGACTAAATAGAAATTTGCTGAAGAGATAATTTCATTTCAATGGTAAAACAATGTATCCAATCCCAACCTGGTTCTACCTGAAAGTGAAATGAACTCCAAACTTTAAAAAGCAAAGTAGCCCCTGATATTCCCACTACCATCCCAATGTTTGACATTTAGGTCACATCATTCCTGAGAATATTTTCCCAGAATTCTTTGGGATCATGCAGATGTTTTAGGGTGAATGTGAGACGAGCTTCGCTGTTCTCCAATGGGTCTTTCGCACGTGACGTCACGCCCTGTGCATTGTGGGTAATTAGCGCCATATTGGGGGGTTACCGTGCGAGAAATTAGAGCTGCTATTCAAGCGTCCCGAGGAGATTTACCTTTTCTTTTGTAAATTAAAATGGCTCGTTCTTGTTGTGTTTTTTACAAACACATTTTTACATCCCCATCTTTTTTTTACCAAAACCAACAAAAAAAACACCTATATATTTGCTATGAACCTTAATATTCCAGGGGTCACAAGATTAAATTTATTTACCATGTAAAAGAGCTTTATGTACTTTAAGTTTAATAATTTTGGAAGCTTTTTGCCGCTTAATAGGTTCGGATGCACCATAATTTACACTTAGATAAAGCTGTGAAGTGAAGACTTGTACAAGTTTGACTAACATCTTACCTTTGTGGTGACCACAGTGTTAGTGCATCCTTCTGGTTGAAATGAGTATAAATCTTGCACCCAACCATTAGTAAACAGTCCATGAGCGTCCAGAGATTTGTAGTTTCGGAATTCTTCAAGTGTATATGCACTAACACCATTAACAAGATAACAAATTATGTCCATATTTGTAGTTGGTGGAAATAGCGAGGGATCAGCTGTCCATGCTTTAGCTGCTAGCTCATACGGATCTATGTTGCTAATTGAGGTTAGCTTAGTTAAATACCGGTCTCTGGCGTCCCTATTGAGTTTATCTCTGTAAGGCTTCTTCTCGTTTTTATTGTGGCTGTCCATGTTGCTGAAGTTATCGCGCTGTCATTGCGGCTTTACTGTCATTACTTGAACTAAAATGAACTTAGGCAGGTTACCCCCCAACATGGCGCCTCCTTGTGTCAAGGTCACGTAACTGCAAAAGACCCATGGAGGTTTTGTCCTGCATCTTCCTGATTGTTAAACCTTTTCCTCCTGGGGTTTTGTTGATTTTCTGGATTATTTTGTGACCTCCTGAATGAGTTGTGGAAGCTCTGTTGAATCAGTTTGATAGGCTATTACTGCTCCATATTTTCTCCATTTCCAGATAATGGCTTTTATTGAGGTGTGATTGTATCCCCGTTCCTTTGGAATAAACTTTCCAGACTTATAGACATCAATTATTCCTTATATTGAAGCTTGTGTCTGATTTTGAAATATTTAGGCCTACTTTGTTTTGTCACATGAATACGAGTAGGTAACTCAAATCAGGAGGTAAGCGACGGAAATTGAGCCATAAAATAAAGTGCCAATTCTTCGTTATTTTGTTACTTTGTAAGGGTTGAGGAAGGCAGTTGCATTTTGCACAAACAAGATTGTGTTGAAATAATTTTTTCCCCATCAATAAATAAATCATTATTTAAAAAAAAAACACATTTGATTAGGTTATTTCATTAAAACACCAGCAGAAACCTGGTTCTGTTTCTGAAATACCCAATAAATCCCTGCATTCAATTTTAGGGGGCATATAATCTCAGCATATCGTTTGAAAAAGAATAGTGTTTTTTTTTTTTTTTTTTTTTTTTTTATTATTATTATTATTATTTTATTATTATTTTTTTTTATTATTTTTTTTTATTTTATTTTTTATAAAAAAAATAAATAAATCAATCAAAAATAAAATAAAAAAATAAAAAAGAATGGTGTTGTTAAGAATCGATATTTACAGTAGCACCCATTCAAAGTTTCCCCACTTTCCTTGGTGAGCCCTTGGCTGGTGCCCTACAATTCCTTTTTAAACATCAATCTATGTATAAAATATTCTTTCTGTTATGATTTGTGGACATTAAGATCTAAAGAGAAGCGTCATCTACTGGTCAGACCCTGTAATTCAGTGAAAGGTTGGAGTCAGAGTAAAAAAATATTCAAAAGGTGGTCCCTTCAGTGGCTGGAGGTTGGAGGGGATTCTGCTGGGTGTTGCAGGGAAGTGGGCTGCCATTCGGCTGGTGTTTGACTGGGAAGGGCCATTTTGAATGGCTGCTACTGTATGTATGTATGTTTTCATATAGTTTCCTTTTATTACATTTTTTTTTTATCTGCGTCCCATTTCCTTTCAGAAACAAACCTCTTCCTTGGATAAAATAAAATACATCTAAAACTGTTTTGGGTTTAACTGGGAAAGATGCTTATCTAGAGAATTGAGTGGCATCCTTTCAAACCATAATTATTCCTCTTTTGTTGGTGCATAATACAGATCTACAAGTAGGATTATAAACCCATCTAGTTACATCTTTCATTTCATCAGTAATGCACTTCATTCTTTCCTAACTGAGCCACCTGCCTTTCTCTTCAAGGTCATCGAGGGCAACGAGAACACATATGATGTGGTCCTGAAGGATCTGGAACCGCCCATCATAGCTCGCTTTGTCCGCTTCATGCCCATCACCGATCCTTCCATGATAGTCTGCATGAGAGTGGAGCTCTATGGCTGTGAATGGCTTGGTTAGTCAGAACTTTTTATCATGCAGGTCTACATGACATTCTAGCAGGATGATAACATCAAACTAAAAATACATCAGAGCTGTGCGGTACTGATATGAGAACCAAAACAGAATAGTTTAAAACTGATTTCATTTAAAAAACTGCTCTAGGCAGCCTTCTTGGAAAGCTGTCTTACACTTTTTTTTACCCTAAAACTATGTTCAGAGCAAATCTGACCCCTTCCCAAGTTTTGGATTGCAAATTTTATTCTGATATATAATTAGAATAATTAGAAATATTTTATTTGTGTTGTTCTGGATCAAATATGTTTCATAAAATCTGTCGCTTGTTCTATTACAGCCCTCCGAATGTAAACATATAAGAAAAGACACCATTTCTTCACATTTAGAGCTTTTTTTCCCCCTAACATTTAGGGACAAAATGCTAAATATAGATGTTAAATTTATATCTAAATACAACTATGGTTATACATAACTTTATATATTCAATCTATTTCTACATTAAATATCTAAATCAGGGCTCGATGTTAACCATCGCCCTATCGGCCGGGGCAAGTAGTTTTTATTGTCGGGAGAGTACCCATTTTACCCACCACCCAGATAACCCTAGATTAAAAATTATCGGTCATGTATTAGGAAAATTGGCATAATTGTATGCCATGCGCACAGTGTAAATATGGCTATCTTATGGCAGTCTTCTGTACAGTGATGCAGGTCATACATTAAAAAATGTTCATTCATTTTTTTTCTCTTAGACATTGGAGAGGTGCATTTAAATGTTATAGAGCTAAACATGTTAAATTGGTGACCTGTTATGTTATTTTTATTGTTGCGGCATTTATTTTGTCAGGGAAAACTAATCCTGAGTCAGTTAAAAGTCAGGAAATTCTGAAAACCCTGTATAAAATAACTATGTATAATGATTCTCTAGAAAAGTCACATTATATTAATAGTTTCATCCTGTATAAACATACCGTGACTCTAAAATAAGTTATTCATTTGTGACACTGACTTCTGTCTTGTGATTTATCTTAAGTTTTTAACCTACTACGGTAAGTTTTTTTTAGATTTTTATCATTACAATTTATATTTTTCCAAGCACACAACAGTTTAAAGCAAAGTTTAGTTTGAAAAGAATGTGCAGAAAGGATTGAAAAGCATGTTAACACGGTAATGTAGGCTTGAGTTCATTATCTGACGCATGCATATACACACCAGGAACCTGTAAACTTAAAAAATACTGAATTACAAAAAACATTAAAAAAACAAACATGTTTCATTGATATATACAAAAATTTATATTAGGAACTATATTTATCAAAAATTATACTGGGCAAGTAAAAAAAATTTCTGAGCAAATGAAATTTGAAAGTCACTTGCCCTTTGGGCAAGTGGTAAAAATCCTTAACGTCAACCCCTGTATATATATTTATTACATGTATATCTTAAATCTATTTCTGAATCTCAAATTAATATCGCTTATCAACAACTTATATGTATATCTTAAATATATATGTAAATCTAAGTTATAAATCTAAGATTTAATATATATATCGTACATATTTTTGGACTTCAGATTTCCAGAAATGAAACTGTCTTGTAACTGAGTAAAAAGGTGCATTCAGCTTTTAGTTTAGCCAGCTGACCCACAGTGTGCAGCTATACGGCTTCTTTGTACACCAAAAAACAGGCACCAAACCCAATTCTATGCAAACCAAATTTTTAAAGAGAAACCAGTTCTTAGAGTTTTTACTTGTTTTGTTTTGTTTGATTTTTCAGATGGCTTGGTGTCTTACAGCATTCCTGATGGACACCAAATGATCTACAAACACCTGGAGGTCTCCTTTAATGACTCTTTGTATGATGGAGCAAACGCTCAAAGGTGTAAATAAAAAGTGTATTACAAGGGTTTATTGCAGCTGTAAAAACATGAGCTCAGATTCTTCCTATTAAACACATTGAAAACGTTGCTTCTCCAGACTAACCAAGGGCTTGGGCCAGCTGACAGATGGCACCTGGGGTTTGGATGATTTTCTGCACAGCCATGTCCCCGGAGTGTGGCCTGGGTACGACTACGTGGGCTGGAGCAACAAGACTTTCCCTAAAGGTTACGTAGAGATGATCTTTGACTTTGACCACATCCGCAACTTCACATCCATGAAGGTGAGAACTCAGAGCAGTTTGTGTTTAATGTTTTCCTCCATTGGAGCAACGGTGCAGATATTTTTTTAAGCTGCTGAGCTAAATGTGTTCACATAATTGTGGTGTGCTTCTTTCTTTTATTTATAATTAGACTAGAACATTACTTCCTTGGACATTGGCTGCCTCTGATATACACTCACGGGCCACTTTATTAGGTACCCCATGCTAGTAACGGGTTGGACCCCCATTTGCCTTCAGAACTGCCTCAATCCTTCGTGGCATAGATTCAACAAGGTGCTGGAAGCTTTCCTCAGGGTAGTTTGGTCCATATTGACATGATGGCATCACACAGTTGCCGCAGATTTGTCGGCTGCACATCCATGATGCGAATCTCCCGTTCCACCACATCCCAAAGATGCTCTATTGGATTGAGATCTGGTGACTGTGGAGGCCATTTGAGTACAGTGAACTCATTGTCATGTTCAAGAAACCAGTCTGAGATGATTCCAGCTTTATGACATGGCGCATTATCCTGCTGAAAGTAGCCATCAGAAGTTGGGTACATTGTGGTCATAAAGGGATGGACATGGTCAGCAACAATACTCAGGTAGGCTGTGGCGTTGCAACGATGCTCCATTGGTACCAAGGGGCCCAAAGAGTGCCAAGAAAATATTCCCCACACCATGACACCACCACCACCAGCCTGAACCGTTGATACAAGGCAGGATGGATCCATGCTTTCATGTTGTAGACGTCAAATTCTGACCCTACCATCCGAATGTCGCAGCAGAAATCGAGACTCATCAGACCAGGCAACGTTTTTCCAATCTTCTACTGTCCGATTTCGATGAGCTTGTGGAAATTGTAGCCTCAGTTTCCTGTTCTTAGCTGAAAGGAGTGGCACCCGGTGTGGTCTTCTGCTGCTGTAGCCCATCTGCCTCAAAGTTCGACGTACTGTGCGTTCAGAGATGCTCTTCTGCCCACCTTGGTTGTAACGGGTGGTTATTTGACTCACTGTTGCCCTTCTATCAGCTCGAACCAGTCTGGCCATTCTCCTCTGACCTCTGACATCATAAAGGCATTTCCGCCCACAGAACTGCCGCTCACTGGATGTTTTTTTCTTTTTCGGACCATTCTCTGTAAACCCTAGAGATGGTTGTGCGTGAAAATCCCAGTAGATCAGCAGTTTCTGAAATACTCAGACCAGCCCTTCTGGCACCAACAATCATGCCACGTTCAAAGTCACTCAAATCACCTTTCTTCCCCATACTGATGCTCGGTTTGAACTGCAGGAGATTGTCTTGACCATGTCTACATGCCTAAATGCACTGAGTTGCCGCCATGTGATTGGCTGCTTAGAAATTAAGTGTTAACGAGCAGTTGGATAGGTGTACCTTATAAAGTGGCCGGTGAGTGTAGTTGCACAGTTGCTTTGCTTGTTGGTTTAGCCTTTTAAAAGCTCTTTCAGGATATAAAAAGGCTCATAAAGTCAAGGGATGGATCCATTGTACACCTAACATATTTCTCTAACTCCTCCCTCACCCAGGGCCGTCTCTAGGGTCTTTGGTGCCCAAGGCAATATTGGCTCAGTGCATTTGGACACAATCAAATGCTCTGGAAATTTTACTTGCAGAAGTTGTGAAATACTGCATTATGTTTTTGCTAATATCTAGTGAGGGCCCGTGTGAGGTTGGATCAACAGCTGCAACACAGGATTTTGTAAAAACATTGTTGATGCCATTGCTTGTTAGAATATAATTTTTGCAAAATCTAAATAGTCTACGTACCTCTGATTTGGGCCAATTTTTCTCCCTCCTTCTTTGCATTTCGGAAAGCTGCTCCCGAATGCTTCGATGTCCTTTTCATCGTTCAATTTCAATCACTGAAAAGTGTAACTCATTACAACCAAGCCCGACGTTCCTCCCCAGTGCTAACCAAGTCCTCTACGTCGGCCATTACAGTCAAAAGAAGAACCTATTTGTTAATTTCGCCTTACAGTGATTCACACAGGGATACTAAAATAAGAAATGGGGCTGAAAAAGAGCAAAGAAAAACTAAGAAAACCTGAGAAATAAATGTTCACCATAAATTACATATTTTATTACACAGAAGGTTTTAGTACGGAAGCCGAGGGCGATTTTTTTACGATGGTTTTCTCGAGATAACAAGTTAATTTGATCATTATCTAAACACACCAAAAGTCGTTTTCGCATGATAATAAAATTGTTCATCTCAAGAAAATAAACGTCCCTTTTTCAAGATCGTGAGATGGTTGATGTATGAGTTAAACTGATTAGCCCTACAGCCTTCATCCTTCAACACCGAGAGAGAATTTATAAGTATAAGTCATGTGTAATTCTGTGAGTAATCCTATGAAAAACCTAACTTTTACGTAACAAGATTAGGTTGTCTGTTAGGTGATATCTTCTATGTTTGATTCATGATAATCATCTCATTATGAGGAGAAAACAATAACTATTTTCTTGTCATAATGAGAAGTATCTCGTTATCTTGAAAAGCAATTAACAGTTAACCATGATAAAGACATAGTTATATCATTATCTTGAAAAAACAATTTAAAAATATGTATTTATGAGTAGGACCGCTTAGTTTGCGTATTTTAGTTGTTTAACCACTGCTCTGCTACTACAGGTTCACTGCAGCAACATGTTCAGCCGTGGAGTGAGGCAGTTCAGACAGGCTACCTGTTACTTCCGCTCCGAAACAGAATGGGAGTCTGACCCTGTGACCTTTAGGCCCGCTGTCAAGCCTGTGGGCCAAAGCGCCCGATTTCTCACTGTGCCCCTTGGGGACCGAACGGCTAGGAGCATCAAATGCCGTTTTCACTTCAGCGACCAGTGGATGTTGTTCAGTGAGGTGGCCTTCCAATCAGGTAATACAAAAAGAATGTCCTTAGAAAATCAGTCATTTCTGAGCATAATGTCACCGTGTCTCTTTTTATTTCTAAGGCTCTGCAGTGTACAACACCTCACTGGGTCGTCAAAAGGGAGAGCAGTCCAAACAGGGACCTTTAGGTAACCAACTGAACATCATTTGGTGAGGTTTATCTGAATCTATGTCGTGCGTCCTGCTTTAAGGTGGAGAAGTGTTTTATTTCGAGGGAAACATGACATGCATTGTTGGGATATTCTAAGTAAACACTGCCCCCTGCTGAGAGAATCAGAAACTACAGTATTTTGTTTTAAAATAAAATCAGGTGTACTATTACATTTATTACATTAAAACATTTGCTACACTCTCTTTATCTAATGACAAATGATTTACTGCATTAAGCCTTTTTAACCCCGTTCTGTGGTTCATCAGGGGATGACCCCACTCACAAAGTGGACGACAGCAACACAAAGATCCTTATTGGCTGCCTGGTGGCCATTATAGTCATCCTTTTCACCATCATAGTCATCATTCTATGGAGGCAGGTCTGGCAGAAGATGCTTGAGAAGGTGACTAAACTGTTTTCCTACTGTGGAGTTGGAACATCGTTATGATCTTTTGTCAAAGCGGCTCAAGGTTAGTGATGTAACGATTGTGCACACACATCCCCACACACAGACCCAGGGCTCGGGTGAGGTGGGAAAGATAGTAAGTGATTACAGAGAAGTCATACTAACAAACTGAAATGTAAACTTTTGTTCAGTATGAAATTATTTGGATGAAAAACAAAATTCTTTAAACGTATATATATATATATATATATATATATATATATATATATATATATATATATATATATATATATATATATATATGTATACATATATGTATAAATATATGTATATGTATAAATGTATACATATATGTATATATATATATATATATATATATATATATATATATATATATATATATATATATATATATATATATATATATATATATATATTTATATACGTGTATATATATATATATATATACGTATATATATGATGGCTAACCAACCAGACATCGTGTTGATCGACAAACAGCAGAAGAAGGCAGTAGTGATAGATGTGGCAATCCCAAGCGATATATGTATATGTATATATATATGTATATGTATGTATACATATACATATATATATATATATTTATATATATATATTCTGTGTATATATATATAAAACTGTAACTGGAGCGTGTAACAAAAGTAATTTCTCTCTGGGATTATTAAAGTATTTCTGATTCTGATTTCTATTAGGCCCAAATTTATGTATTTAAAATGTTAGTCAATGGTGCAATCTTAAATGTTGTGTCTAAGTGGAAAAATAATCGAAGGTAACAGAAAAAAATGGGGGAAGAAAGTTCTGTTTGTATTTAATTTACATAAATTACACATTGAGATAAATAGTGATTTAAATAATAACCTTTCATTACATGATGCTTAAGTTATACTAGTATGGAGGTATATTTCCATATGTTTCATGCACTCTTTTATTAGTCAGGGCATAACATCTTAATATAAGATGTTCTGTTGTATATAAGAATATATAAAACAAAAGAGGCATGTGGAAGCACTATACAGGTCTATGCTGGTATCTTGCTTCAACCTTGTTTCAGTGAATCTTACCTTCCTACTCATTTGCAGGCTTCCCGTCGCTGGTTGGACGATGAGCTAACAGCTCGCCTTGCTGTCCAGACCCAAGCCTTCTCCCTCCTTCACTCCTCTCTATCCAGTGAGGATGGTTCCACCGCCACCTACGAGAGAATCTACCCTCCATGCGCAGACTACCAGGAGCCGTCACGCCTCATCCGCAAACTGCCTGAATTTGCGGAGTGCTCAGAACACCTTGGTAAGCTTGGGAAAATCCAAGTCTGAGTATTGTTAAGAGCAGCTGAAGAATCATATCTCGTACCTCATGGGTTTTCTTCTAGAGTCAGGGGCCTCTGGTAGAGCAGTTGTTGGTTCTGATGGCGCTCCACACTATGCAGAAGCAGATATAATCAGTCTGCAGGAGTCCTCTGACAGCAGCTCCATCAGAAGTGTCAATATGAACCTGTTTGCTGGATCAGACGCAATCCTGAGGGAGTTCCCTAGGGAGAAGCTAACCTTTAAGGAGAAACTGGGAGAGGGTCAGTTTGGGGAGGTGAGTTCCTTTAAGTATGATAAACTAATTTTTACTCTTTCAAGTTGTTCTCTATAAACATCAAAGGAATAACCTTAATTCTGAAGTGAAACCAGTTGTGTTGGATCAGGCGTCTATAAACTGCTTCTCCTTCCTCCTACAGGTGCACCTATGTGAGGCAGATGGTATACAGGACTTTTTAGATGAGGATTTAACAGTGGAAAGTAACAGTGAATTACCTCTGCTTGTTGCGGTGAAGAAGCTACGGGAAGATGCAAATAAAAACGCCAGGTGAGGGTAGCTGGCAAACAGGTAGAAGAGTGGCTATGTCTCCAGCTCATATAGTTGTTTCCCTGCTGTGCTGCAGGAACGACTTCCTGAAGGAGATCCGAATCATGTCTCGTCTGAGGGACCCCAACATTGTACGCCTGCTGGCTGTGTGTGTGGATACGGACCCTCTGTGTATGATCACAGAGTATATGGAGAATGGGGACTTAAACCAGTTCCTCTGTGGTCTCAGACTAAAGGCCCTGAATGACGATAGGGAAGACCAGGAGGAAGGGAACAGTGGAGTCAGGTAATAGATATTTATACAGTTTAGACTTTGTAACGTCACAACTGTACAGTCTTCCTTCCTTGGGTTTGTTTCTGCCACTTTTAAAGTCGTAGGGAAGTCATATTTAAATGTCAAATCATTCTGGCTTAAATATGTATATAAATGTACTCTTTATCAGACGATATTGTCCCAAAAGTTAGAACATTTCTATTTTAAAAAAATCCTGTCTTAAAATCAGTTTTTTTTTCCGTGATCTTATGCAGGCCAGTTAGTTATATGTCAGCTTGTACACCTAAATTTGGCCAATCATATATCAAAGGTTGTCTGTCAATCAAATTTTTTCAGATTCTTGATTCATATGTTGCAGCTAATATATGCAACTGTTGAAATGAGAATAATTTCCTTTCCCATTGAGTTCCGTCTCAGTGTTCACGGGGATGGACGTCTGTGTCTTCGGCAGGCGTAGAGCTAACAGAACTGGCAGCGTTGCGAGGCAACGGCTCAAACATGGACGGCTGGAAGCTTCTACACCAAACCAAGCTTCTGCTTCCCTGGCGTCCTCTTCCACAACATCTTCATCCCCGCTTTCCTCCTCTAAATAAAAAATGTATAACAGAGGAGACTCATCCACGACCTCCGACACAAAACTCTCCTCCTCTTGCATGTTTCCACTGTCCATAGCGTTCCTTGACAGTATCGTTTCTAAGTCACCAATTTAGTGCTACTTGGTCCCAAAGTAATTTCCCATTGGGAACCTGCTAGCACTAAGTTGCTAACTGGTTAGCAAGATGTTTCTGACAAACCAGCCACAACCAAAAGGACTTGCAAACCCTCCTCCACAACAATCCCGCTCCCTTGATAAACGACCAATCACATTCACTTTATTCACTCGTGTAAAGTCGTGCACCACCCGGGAGAATTCTGAAATTCAACGGTTGGAACAGCCACTTCCCTAGGACTTTAAGCATCTAGAGCAGCGGTCCCCAACCTTTTTTGCACCACGGACTGCACCATGGTCCGTGGGGACAGCCCCATGAAACGACTGGCATAAAATCTAATGCAAACAGCATAAAAATAAAACAACAAGCCGGTTCCATCTAGGTGTTATCGGAGACAGTGACACACGAAGTGTGCTCCTGATGTCTGGTCTGCTCCGTGTTTTGGTCGCTGTAACCGCAAAAAATCCCGCTTCACAAAGATACGATGTTATAGATAGGATGAGTCTTGAACTGAATTATCCTGTGTCAAGAGGCACAGATGCACCGACTGATGTAATTGGCAGAGTATACCGCAATACTAGATTTTTCAAAATAAAACATCACTCAGACTCGTCGATAAATTATATATATATATATACTTTTTTCTGTGCGGCCCGGTACCAAATGACCCACGGACCGGTACCGGGACCCCTGATCTAGAGGACAAAATATTAGCCCGTTTTCCCTTTCAAAGTACCTTAATCTCCGAGCATTTTGATGGATGTACTTTGATTGAGCCATTCTGATGTCTCACCATAGGGCTCTGGTTGTATGTTAACAGTTGTCTCATGTATTTTGCCAATTCTATCAGGTTTATATCTTCTTAACCTTGATAATCTTCCTTTATTCTACGGAAGCAGCTTACCCCACAGTATGATGGTACCAAGGCCATGCATTTTTTTCTTTTTCAAATTTATTTGTATAGCACAATTCAGTACAAAGACATTGCAAAGTGCTTAACATTATTGAAATATAGAAAAATAAAACAGAATCAAAGCAAGTAGGAATTTTTTTTTTATAAATAAATAGAATAAAAAATGTAGAAACAAAAAAGAATATTAAAAACAGTTGGACTAAAGAAAATAAAAAAGTTTAACTAATGATGTTTCAGTTGAACTGTTTAACTAGAACAGTCGAAGGCAATCCTAAACAAATGTGTTTTTACTCTTGATTTAAAGGAACTCAGGCTATTTGTAGTTTATTTATTCAGCAGCTGGAAACTGTTATGTCTGATATACTTGTTGCCAGGGCCCGGTGTGTATCACGGAGAAGTTATCTGAAGGTCCTGACGTTCCGTCATATGTAGAGGAGGATCTGCACTGCAAAAACATTCTGCAAATCAGTACACGTGTCTTAAAATAAGTGTATTCACCCTTAATTTAAGTAGGAAAATAAGTTGATCTGACAATGGAATGAGAATTTTACCCTTAAAATAAAATAATTAGATATTTTGCACTTTAAATAAGAGACTGCAATTGTTTTTTCTTATTTAAAATGTAAATGGTCTTATTCCAGTGGCAAAGTGTCTCACTTACTTGCTCAATTTAAGAAAAAATCCACTTATTTTAAGAAATAATTACTAAGTTAGATAACCATTTTTTGCAGAGTGGGGCTCTGCGGCTTTTAGAAGATGCTGTTTTTTTCACATAGCTGCGGTTTTCAGAATGAGCTAAGTGGAGAGGATGTCAACTGTAGGCCAATCTTAAAAACTTTGTTCATGTTATGAGAAAATTCCATAAAAGGAACATCTGGGCTTTGTGGAGAAGAGGGGGAATTGGGTGCAATCTGGACTGGTGTCTGTGGGGAAGCAAGTTGTTGTTTCTCTTTGGAATTTAAAGGGCAGTCCTCTTTTTGTCCTGCTGAGATCTGGGATGAATCCTCCTGTAGTTCTGACGTAGGCTCTTTCTGTGTCATCCTTCTGGCCATCTTTATCTTGGCTTGTTCGGGCTGTACTGGGCTTATCGTTTGTTTAGGCACTGGTGGAGCTTTGATTTGGAACAAAGCTGATGGTGCATGCTTCAGAATAGAAAATGTTTGATATCAGCCGTTTTTCGCCTGACTTATTTAGAGAGAAACCATCTCTGTTGAACAGACATCTCCTCTCCCAAAAGATGTTAAAGTTGTCTATGAACGTTACAGCTGTCTGTTTGCATGTTGCATTCAGCCATTTATTTAACATCAGAACTTTGGAAAACATTTCATCCCCACAATTAATGGGTACGTGAGCAGTGTTGTAGTACTCGAGATCGGAAGAGACCGGTCTTGTCTCGGTCTCGTTACACTCTGGTCTTGGTCTTGTCTTGATCTCGGGTTAGGTGGTCTGGACCACAACACTGACGTGAGGGCCGCTGAGAAACACCTTGACATTAAGATCATCAACTAAATTCAGCAGACGAATGTAATCCTCTTTTAATATTTCAGATTTTCTCAGGGCTGCGTCGCCCAAGGCTTCAGCTTGTATGATGAGTTTTTCCAAGGTCGGGCATCTTTTCATGATCTTTGGAAGGATGTCTGATACATTAGACACCAGGCCACAGTTCAAAAGATTATAAATCAACAACTCTGTGTTTTTCTTGTTACAGAAATGTTTAATCCCGCTTATAGATCCATTGCATAATATCAGGGTCCTTGGCTCTGTGGCCTGTTTTTTATCTGGTAGCTTAGAATGAAGATTGTTCACATTGTCGTCGTGATCCTTCTGGGTCTCATCTTGGAGTGGAGCAAATCTGTTTTGTAACGGAATTCCAACATTTCCAGCAGGTTTACTCCTATCATGTGTTGTGAGAACATCCCGTTTTTGTTTCACTTTTCTTGGGACATCTCTCTGTGGTCTCGGCTAGTTTTCTTTGTCTAGGTGGGGGGTTCGTTGATCCTTTGGTCTTGCACCTAGAGTGGTCCAGGGATTCTCATTTTCCTCTGGGAACTGTTTGTTCGCTGAGTTGCTGGGCGGTTGGTCCCCCTTCGGAATCACAGGCAGCGTTGTTTCATTTCCATACGCTGCGTTTACCTCATAGTTTACTTCAAGTTGGTGGATTTTCAGTTCCCTGACAGCTATTTTCTGCAGCAGCTTGTCAAAGTCCTTCGTGCTGAAGGTAGGCATCCTTTGAATCGGGTGGTTCTTCTCCATATACACTTTGTGTTGAAGTCATTCCATAAGAGCGTTTTTCATGAGAACTGCCTCCTCGGGCTGTTGTACAGAGGCATCTTGTGTGGAATAGCTGAAAACTAAAATAGTCCAAACGGGGGAAAAAATCTAAATAAAAAATAAATCAAAGAACTAAATCCAACTTTCTGTAGTTTTGGTTAAGAGATAAAAAGGAGATAAAAAGACCAGAAAGTGAAAGCAAGCAGGGAGCAAAGAAAGAGGTTGTACACACAAGAGCTGCAAGTGCTACAATGGTGCTGTTTGTTCTGCATTTGTCCCACACTAACCTTTAAGGCAGAACTTATGGATATCTACCGACTAAATTAAATCCCTTTTGTTATGCTTTGGTCTGTCACTTGGAATCCAAATGAAACACACTAATGTTTGTGGTTATAACATGACAAATAAGGTTCAAAGGAATATGAGACCTTTTGTCTGTGTGTTAACATTAGAGAAATGTACGATGCACTGGAAAAAAATCTAAATGTAGATAAGTAAATTTTCCTTAAATTAAGTGCATTTGTTCTTGAATTTAGGAGGTAAGTGAGAAACTTTGCCAATGGAACAAGACAATTTACATTTAAGATAAGAAAAAAAAATTGCATTGTCTTATTTCCAGTGTATATTATCTAATTATCTTATTTTGAGTAAAAATGCTCATTCCATTGGCAGATCATCTTATTTACTCACTTAAATAAAGGGTAAATACATTTAATTAAAGACATTTTTACTTATTTCTAGATTGTTTTTGCAGTGTGTACATTTGGAACATACTCAGGTCTCAGGAAATTATCAGTTCTTATAAAAAAATCTGTTCTCTGGTGTTAACAATAAACTTATCAGGCCTAAAACCAATTTTTTGAGACCTCATAAACAATTTCCTAAGACATGGCTTTTTTTTCTGATCATTTGTTTTCAGACATGACAACTATTCATTCTAAGACCTGATAGGTTATTATGCTGAGACTGGAGACCTGGCATTTTCTTCCACTGAGACCTGACAATGTTTTTTTGTCCTAACACTTGACAACTTTTCCCATGAGACCAGATACTGTAGCTTTTTTTCTAAGACCTGAAAACAGATTTTCTATTACCAGAGTATGTCCTAAAATGTACAACATACTAATGACTTGCTAGAAGATGTAAGGTTGAAGATGGAAACTATGGGCACACTACGCCAACAGTACCTCCTCTTTCCTTTTCTTGTAGCTACATCAAACTATTAGGCATGGCGTTGCAGATTGCATCTGGTATGAAGTACCTGTCCTCCCTCAACTTTGTACACCGGGATCTGGCAACTCGCAACTGCCTGGTAGGGAGAAACAGCACCATCAAGATTGCAGATTTCGGCATGAGCAGGAACCTCTACAGAGGAGACTACTTCCGCATTCAAGGCCGAGCCGTCCTGCCAATTCGCTGGATGTCGTGGGAGAGCATCTTGTTGGTGAGTGAGCAGAGAACCTGAGGCTACATGAAAAACTGACATAATTATGCCAAAACTGATTGTTCTCCGTCCTTTCAGGGTAAGTTCACCATGGCCAGTGATGTTTGGGCCTTCGGGGTGACCTTGTGGGAAATATTGACGCTTTGCAAGGAGCAGCCTTACTCCCATCTCTCTGACGAGCAAGTGATCGAAAACACAGGCGAGTTCTTCAGGAACCAGGGCAAGCAGGTAAGCACTGTATGAGGATTCCAAAAATATTCATACCTTAAGAAACCTTTAATGATTATTGTGATAACCTTTAGTGAATTTATTGCCAGTTTAGTTCATAAAGAAACTCCAAATTGATCCAAATGTTCCTCCTGCAGCCACGAAATTCAGCCTTGAATTTCAAATTTTGAAAATGTTCAACTTTAGTCACAGGAACATCAAGCTGCTTGATGAATGTCTTATAACCTTTACCTTTAACTTTTTTTTTATAATCTCCTTAGAAATCTCTTTCTTTCTGTTCCTCTGGTCCATGTTGAGTGTGGTACACACCATGTCACCAAACAGCATAGTGACTACATGTAACCCTATATATAGGCCCACTGAGTGATTACACGACTGTAGACACCTTTGATGCAAATTAATGCTATTTATTTTCAGATTTGATCCAAATAATATCAAAGGAACTAAGGAATGTATTGTTTAGCCTCCGTAGATTCTCATTTGGATTTAGGTCTAAACCTCAACCTTTGACTGGGCCACTCTGAAACATTAATAAGCCTAGCTAAGGGTTATTATCTTTCTGGAAGGAGACGCTCAACCTCTACCAGGTTTTCTTTCTGTATTATTTTATATTTTCTCCCTCATCTTTTGTCCTATTATGACCAATCTATCTGTCTTTAAAAGTAAAAGCCTGACAATGCCACTAACATGCCTCATTGTAACTCGTAGTATGTTGCAAAAACACTTAGAGGTATACTATGCAACCGGTGTTGATTTTCCAGCAAGGCTCCCCCCAGAGGGCGAAAGTAAAAGTGCACTGTCGTAAATATGCTCAGCTGTTCCCCTGGTTTCTCCATCAAGCCAGGCGCAGTTGTTTTGAGCTTAGCAGACAGGCGAATGCAACAAATCACCATGTCTACTGCGGTAAGTGACTATTTTGTTCCACTTTTCGAGTTTGAAAATTCTCGGTGGTTCCGCCATGATAACTGCACAAATATCGCCACTGCACTAGCAACGAGCATGCCTTACAATGGGGGCGTGTAGCAGTTCTCGCCGTAAAGCAAGACCGACTCTCGCGATGCACGAGACTTCTGAGCCTGTGGGTGCGGGCCGAGGGCTCGTGCAATTGCAAGTATGGTATTTCCCCTACAGACCACCAGGGCGGCCGAGAAAACCTTTGTTCGACCTGAAATGACTCATTTAATCATCCAAAACGTTATGGAACACATTAATTAACTGAAAAATGTTGCATAGTATGCCTTTAAAGAGTTTTTTCTTTTGAAACCTAACAACATTTTGAGACTTTTTTGCTTTTAAATCTTTTCTTTCCTTTTCACATTGTTTTGTCGACTTTCTGTCGGCTAATCATGTAACATCCCAATCAAATGTGTTGACAAATCTTGTTATAACAAAAGAAAACGAGATGAGAAGGGGTTATTAGTGTATTAATGCTTTTTATTTAGAGCACTGTATGGTACTCACTTTATTTGTGAGTGTTTGTTATTATGATATGTATTTGCCATGATAGGTTGCAAATCCTCTTGACTATTATGAACCTTGAAATAAAACACTTAACCTTGTTGTGCTTCTAACATACTCCCTCATTGTTTTATCCTCTCAGGTATACCTACCAAAACCGCAGTGTTGTCCTGACAGACTCTACAATGACCTCATGCTGAGCTGCTGGAGGAGAAACGCTAAAGAAAGACCCAGCTTCCAGGAGATACACACCCAGCTGATGGAGGGAATGGCATAGCAAATGAAAAGGGGATCAAAATATGTTACCTATAAACGTGCATCCTTGTCCTACAAAATGTAACTCCTTCTGAAGGGTTAGCTACAACATGGAGATTTCAGTTTGGGGTTACAAATGCTTTCAGTGATCTGCTGTCATACATTACATTAAACATGAAGATACAAAAGAGGAGATGCTTAAAATATAGAGGGTAATCAGGTCTTACACCGTGAAGATATAATTTATTCTCAGAACATGATTTGTAAATTGAAACACTTGATCAAATAAAACTATAAAATAGGATATGTAATGCTATTGTTTACTTTAAACTGTAAAAAATATGTAAAGTTAAAAAATTCTAAATGTTTCTAAATATTAAAACAATAAGGTCTTCCTACCAGGGTTCCGGACTTAATGCATCTGAAATAACTTCTTTCTATATCAACAATTAAAAACAGATGTCATCTAAAACTATTTAGATTAACTTCCATCAAATCATATAAACACATCGGTTAAAAGATTTCTATCAAATGATATATTATTTTCAGACTGCATCTAAATGTACATTTATTTACAGTTTTTTTGGATTGCTTAAGCACGATTTTCAAAACAGGGCCCGTGTTTTCAAAACACTACACACAATTAGCACAACCATACACCCAATTAGCAAAACACTACAGATCCTTTGCATAATTAAACACTCCTGCAAAAACTATACACTTCTGTTTAAAAACCACACTTTGTTACCATGTGAAACACACACGTTTCACATTACTATACTCTGGTTGCACGAGTTACACTCTGCTATGATAAACCTAAAACACTTTTAGCACTTCTACTTCCCTATGATTAGAGTTGGCTACCATCAACAAAGTACAAATATAATGTAAATTCACCAAACACTACACAAGACCAATGTTGCAGACTGAAGAAACTCATTTATTTCTCAACACGCCCAAAATGTTGACATGGAGATTCATAATACTGTAACAAAATGTCACTTTACGTATTGCACTGTAAGTTTACTGTAAAAAACAAAACGAAACAAAAACTAGACATTGTCTCTTCGCCTAGCTGGATCTGGCCAGAGAATTTCATCAACATTGCAGGCAATGTTGTCATTAGCAAGACACCTTGGAAAGAAACGTCTTGAATGATGAATCCATCCTTGCATTGCTGCTACCTCCATCTGGTCACAGAACTCCTCCATGGCTTGGATGAGGGGTACCTCAGCCTGGAGACGGAGATCATATACCTTCCACCGCCATGTCGAGAAAAACTCTTCTATAGGGTTGAGAAATGGAGAGTATGGTGGAAGATATCGGACGGTGAAATGTGGATGTTGCTGAAACCAGTTCTGAACCAGAGCAGAGTGGTGGAAAGACACATTGTCCCAGACAACAATGTATTGCATATGATCGATTTGATTTGCTGCTGTTATGTTGTGCAATTGGTCCAAGAATGTAAGTATGAGTGCTGTGTTGTAAGGGCCCATATGGGCATGGCGGTGGAGGACCCCATTCTGTGTAATGGCTGCACAGAGTGTTATATTACCCCCACGTTGCCCTGGGACATTGACTATAGCTCTGTGGCCAATGATGTTTCTTCCCCTCCTTCGTGTTCTCGTCAGGTTGAACCCAGCCTCATCTACGTCAATGAACTCATGCTGGATCTCCTCTCCATCCATTTGTAAAATTCTCTGAAGAACAGTGTCAGGCAAAATTGTGTTCAGTGTAGATCTAGTATACATATCACAGTACAGTAAAAGATTATGAGACAGTAGGCAAGATCACAATGCTTAGGTGAATACATACCTCTGCATAATCATGCCGCAGTCGTTTCACCCTTTCGGAATTGCACTCGAAAGGCACTCGATACATTTTCTTCATTTGAATATGGTTTTTATTAGGATGCGTGCCAGTGTTGATGTTGAGACCTGATGGATATTGTTGAAACCGACGTGGTTATTGACAATGTTAGCTTGGAGCTGATTGAGGATTATAGCATTGTTGGCCAAAACCATGTTTACTATCTCCATCTCTTGCTGTTCTGTGAACATAGGAGGCCGTCCTCCTCCTTGTCCTTGTCCTCCTCCTTCTCCTCCACCTCATCTTACTATTTTTCTGACTCTTTCCATTATGCTAGAAGACCGATGAACTCACCCGCTGCTTTTTATAGTGCTTATACACCTGATTGGTGTGTCTACAATTAAGCAAACAGGTGTTTGCACACCTGATGACTGTGTTGAATCAATTGGTTGGAAGGTGCAGTAATTTGACAGTCAGTGCTTTGGTATTGCAAGGAAGTGACTTCATAATAGATTTTTGTGTGTAATGTATGTTAAGTGTGTTTAGTGTTTTGCAAATCCCTGTGTGTAGAGTTTTGCAACAAGTGTGAGGTTGACAATGTGCTTATAGTTGTGCAAATATGGGCTGATGTTTTGCTTCTTGAGTGTAAGGTTTTGCTAATAGTGTACTACTTTTAACTTTAGTGTGTAAGCAATCCAAAAAAACTGTATTATTTACCTTTTTTATTCTATTTATAGTGTACTATGTAACTCTCAAGTCTTATTTACATATTTATTTACTGTTTACTAATAGAGTCCAGCGTCTAGTCAGCTATATTCTAGAATGCGGGGACAGGCACACACTCATAGTTAGGGGCAATTCAGAATGGCTGATCAATCTTGCATGTAGTTTTGGACTATTGAAGGAGGGAACATGCGTAGTCAGCAACCAGACATGCACAGGAGAGAATATACATACCCCTTTGTTGACGTATATATTTTAAGAGGGATATTTAGCAGGTCAGGAACAGAAGAGGATTAGGGTCACTGAAAAAAAAAGTTAACTGATTTTTAAATTTTATTTCAGTTTAACATAGGAAAAAAAGTCAGAATTCTGACTTTAATCACTTTTTTATCAGAATTCTGACTTTAATCTCAGAATTCTGACTTTTTTTATTGTCAGAATACCGTCAGAATTCTGAGAAAAAAGTCAGAATTCTGAGATTAAAGTCAGAATTTTGAGATTAAAGTCAGAATTCTGAGATTAAATTCAGAATTCTGAGATTAAAGTCAGAATTCTGAGATTAAATTCAGAATTCTGAGATTAAAGTCAGAATTCTGAGAATAAATTCAGAATTCTGAGATTAAAGTCAGAATTCTGAGAAAAAAAGTCAGAATTCTGAGATTAAAGTCAGAATTCTGAGAAAAAAGTCAGAATTCTGAGATTAAAGCCAGAATTCTGAGATCAAAGTCAGAATTCTGAGCAAAAAGTCAGAATTCTGAGATTAAAGTACATACTAAACTGAAATAAAATTTTAAAATCAGTTAACTTTTTCTTTTTTCTTTTCCAGTGGCCCTAATCCTCTTCCGTACTCAGGTCATTCACCAATGAGGATAAATAACTTTTCTACTTATTTGTTCTCAAGTTGTGCTGCTAAATAGAGATTCTTCTTTTTTTTTTACACTGTCCCGTCTGGCAATGTGGCAATAAGAATAATTGTCTTGATGCCAAAAAAGGGCCCAACAGATTTTACTTTCACAAGTGGAGCAGTAGGGCTATTGCCATAGTGTTCCGCTTGTTTCATGCATATAAATTGCTTTATAAGAATTATGCAGGGAGTTTTACAGATTATATGGACACTGCAATGTAAGTAGAACAGAAGAGGAAAACAGAAAAAAAGGAGAAAAGATAAAAGAGGAGATAAAAGGGAGATAATGATAAAACACTTTCAGTCTGCTTTATCACCTGCAACGAGATGTAAAAAGAACAGTACAACCAACAGACATGGTACAAGACATACAATAAAGTAACATCTAGATACCATCGCTGAAGTAGTATTATTTAATCTGACATGTACTCTGTGTTATCTAAAGATAAGAATATGGGCTTTCTGTATGGAAGTGATCTTTGTGTACCTGGAACCAAGCCCATGTGAGAGTGCACTTGTGCATGTAAAGTTTATCCAAAGAAAAAATGCTCAATAGTGGTTGTGGGGAGCCGAAGAGGCCCAAAGCCCCAGACGCCCGAAGGGACCCCAAGAGCGTAAGCTAAGAAGAGATTCTGAGATAGATGAGCGATATTTTGTTGTTTCCTGTAGGCTACAACAGCAATAAAGCCTTTTCTTCCTCTTGTATGCCTTGTGATATTTTTTAAACGTCCCCTCTTTCAGTTAGAAAAAATTAATTTTCTTTCCTTTTTACATTGTTGTTTTAATTTTTGTTGGATAATCACATAACATCCCAATGAAATACGATGTAGATTGTGGATACAATGTGAGAATTGTTTTTGTTTTTTAACAGGTTATTTAATATCTGTTTCTATGTTAGGTTAATTTTAAGCAGTCAGATGACATGACAGTATGATGTTGTATTTTGAAACGTTTTACAAAGATGTTTGTTCTTGTTTTTTTACTGCTGTAAGAATCCAAATACTGTATATAGCTAAGTTGCTGCATGTATTTTAGAAATAATAAAAAAAAGAAATTTAACTATCACAAAATATATATTTTTTTTCCTTCTGTGTTGAGATCGTAGCAGGTTTCAATGAAAGTTGATTTTTTTTTTTTTTTTGGAACAGGTTCCCTTTAAATGAATCCGCGCCCTCTGACTGTTTTGGACTTTTGGACTTGCCGTAGCGGTAGCTGATTGGTTGGCTGTCTGTTGACATCCAATCATACCACGGTTTATACCGCTGCATATCCTCTGTGAGGAATCGGACGATGGGCTGTCCAGCTGCTCACACAGTGAATAAACACAAACTGTAGGAGCTTCCCCCCATTTTTTTTCTCTCTTTTATCTTCAAATTCACTCAGACATGGAGAAAGTTGTTATCGTAACCGGAGCTAACAGGTAAGCTAGCTGAAACTTTATTGCTAAATGTTTCCGTTTTTACAGCTGAGTTTACGCTAATAATTTGATTTTTATATAATATTTCAAATACTAAAGACAGATAACTCATAAAATATTCCACCTTCGGAGGCAGCTAAACCTCTAAATCTATAAGCTGAGTTTATTAATACCGCTAAGCAACTAAACTGTTTATTAACTAACAGTTAAACACTAAACAGAACAGTATTGGTCTTTTATTTTCAATACTTTCAATCTTGTAGCCTTGAACATTGGTTGTGCTTTCTGTTTTTCATGGTACTTCAGCATACAGTGCACCTCGCCATCATTGTCATTTCTCACCATGGCCGGTTCTAGACAGGGGCCAACGGGGGCCAGTGCCCCTGTAGATCATGTTCTACTGTACTGAAGACATAATACTTAAAAGAAATTCTAATGATGATCTGCGCTGGAACAGACATGGTTACTGATATGTCCTTTAGATCTCTTTCATTTTTTCTCTTTACAAATTCTGTTTTATTTATTATTCAGAAACAATAAGGCGATAGCTTCAGTGGTATTGAGATAGGATCCCAGTTTTGATCTGCTAAATGTTTTTTTTCCCACAACAAATAAAAAAAATGCTCTAATTTTTACAGATGAATTTAACAGTTTTTATAGAAAATGGTATTTTTTAACTTAAATCAAGTCAAAATTATGTAAAATTCCTAAATTATAAATGTATATCGACTTCATAAGAAAGAATTTTTAATGAACCTCATTGAAAAGACATTTCACTTCATGCAGCTCTCTTTATATATTTGAATCCCTTGCCCTGTTGTTTATTTCATGCTTTTATGGGCCCCCATGAAAACATGGTGGCCCCCTCGTACATTTGGTCTAGATCCACCACTGTTCCTGCCCTTCAATAGACGTGGATATACTTAAGTATATTCTGCTGTAAAATTAGTCCTGTATTTTCATTTTTTACTCGTTTTTTACTTTATCATAACTTCACATGATTCTCAACATTCCTCATTTTAGGGAAGAAATTGCTTCTTGTTAGTTGTCATAAAATACAACTTGTTTCTCATAATTTTAGGACTTTATTCTCGCAATGTTATGACTTTATTCTCGTAATTTTACGACTTTAATCTCGTAATGTTATGACTTTATACTCGTAATTTAATAACTTTATTCTCGTACTGTTACAACTTTATTGTCGTAATTTAATAACTTAATTCTCGTACTGTTATGACTTTATTCTCATAATTTCATGACTATTCTCGTTGCAACTATATTCTCGTAATTTTATGACTTTATTCTCATAATTTTATGACTTTATTCCCGTAATGTTACGACTTTATTGTCGTAATTTTTCGATTTTATGCTCGTAATATTATGACTTTATTATTGTAATTTTACGACTTTATACTCGTAACTTTGACTTTATTCTCGTAATTTTACGACTTTATTCTCGTAATTTTACGACTTTATACTTGTAATTTCATTACTTTATTCTCGTAATGTTACGACTTTATTCTCGTAATTTTATGACTTTATTCTTGTATTTTAACGACTTTATACTTGTAATTTCATTACTTTATTCTCGTAATGTTACGACTTTATTCTCGTAATTTTACGACTTTATTCTTTTAATTTTACGACTTTATACTTGTAATTTCATTACTTTATTCTCGTAATTTTTACGACTTTATTCTCGTAATTTTACGACTTTATTCTCGTAATTTTACGACTTTATTCTCGTAATTTTATGACTTTATACTCGTAATTTTACGACTTTATACTCGCATTTTTATGACTTTATTCTCTTAAATTTACGACTTTATTCTCGTAAATTTACGACTTTATTCTCGTAATGTTAAGAGGTAGTGATGGGTTAATGAGGCTTCTTCGACACATTGCTAAACTGTATTAATCCTGCGTTGATACTGTCTCACAGAATACTGACACCTGCTGGACACTACAGGCAGCTTATTTGACAGACTAAACAGAATTGGTTTTATAACCTAGTACACTGATATAACTTAAGTTGTGTAGGTTATATTGTATTATTTCATATCTATGTTTACATTGAAACTATCTTTGATATTTTTAGATGGAGCCAATAAATAATGTAAATGGATATCATAACTTGAACACTTAGGGGGAAATATGAATGAAGATGCTTGTAGACTAGGATTTTAAATCATAATTTTAAAACAATAAGTACAGAAAAAAACGGTAAATAAACTAAGAGTCAATTTGAAATTAACTTTAATTCAGATAAGTTGAGTGATAACTGAAAGGAAAAGGATGACTCAACGAGAAAATGAAAATAAAAACGAAATGGCTCGAACATTCCTATTCTGCACAAAAATTCTTGATAATTTTAATGATAAACCGCAAAATATTAGACATTTTTTTTAGCAAGTGCATCATGTTTAGTGAGTCAGTCAGTTAGAAACAACTCCTGTATCAGTCACATGACTTTCTGGAAACGGCGCGGGCACCGATACAGTGTTTTGCTCTGTGGGCTCGACTCATGCACCGACGCATCAGTGTTAATGGACTTATCACTAGAAAGAGGAAACGGGAAAGTTCAACTCTGACCATCTCTTCTCAGAGTTTTAAAAGCATCCCCACAGCATGATGCTGCCACCACTATGTGGAAGGTGTGTACAGCATGTACATCGCAGTAGCTTCTTTTGGTAGGCTGCAGCTGTGACGTTTGGTTTTGTGTTCTGCACAATCTGTAGTTTTGTTAAATTTGAGTTTGTTACACTGAGTTTTATTAAAGAGTTTATAGTAAAGGGTGCTAAAAACAAATGTTCCTCATATTTTTGAATTTTTAATGTGGAAGTGACATCAAATTTGGTGATGTAACAGAGTGGGATGTGAAGGATATAGATGAAGTGCTATATTCCAAGGTTTAATAATGCAGTAAACAAACACTTGGTTTATCAAACTTCATGATTTTCAGTCTACTTTTGTCCTTAGTGAATCTGTGAATTTAAAGTTGGTGGGTCTCTGTGTCTGCAGTGGAATCGGACTGGCCCTGTGTGAGCGGCTGCTCACAGAAGACAGCCACGTCCGGCTCTGTCTGGCCTGCAGAAACTTGGAGCGGGCGGGGGCCGCCCGCGCCGCTCTGCTGGCGTCTCACAGCACCGCCTGTGTAGAGCTACTGAAGCTGGACGTTGGCTCAATGCAGTCAGTGCTCAGCGCTGCAGAGGAGATCAAGTCCAGGTTAGTAAGTAAAGTTCATTTTTTAGAATCTGCCACTGAGCTCGGTGGACCTTTGACGCCTAAATGTGTTTCTGCAGGTACAACCGTATCGATTTTATGTATCTAAATGCAGGAATTATGCCTAATCCAGCAGTTGACATCAGAGCATTTTTCAAAGGTCTCTTCTCCAGGTAGAAATCTAAAATGAGACGAATTCCCTTTTTGTTTTGATGCTAAAGTTTTAATGCTTGTCTTCCTTTTTAACTTTCTCCCCCCTGCAGGAATGTCATCAACATGTTTGCGACAGCAGAAGGTCTCCTAACCCAGCAGGACCGACTCAACTCAGATGGCCTTCAGGAAGTGTTTGCCACTAACCTGTTTGGTTATTTTCTCCTGGTATGCTGCAGAAACTCCCTTCAACGGACGCACCATAGCACATTTTCTGAACAAAGTTGCAAAAACCTTATAAAGATAAATTCAGCTTCAGCTTACCGGAAGTGAATTAAAATTACTCTGCTTCTGTTGCCTGTTGTAATTTTATTTTTATTTTATTCGTTTTTTTGATAGCGACAAGTATGTTTCATGAATCATGTCACACACTACAACATTTTAGCTAAGGCTAATTCTCAATGCCTGTCCCCAGTTAGGCTTTTACACAAAACACAGTGACTGTACACAAGAAACAACAGAACAAATTACACACTAAAACATCACAGAAACAAGATCAGGTCAGTTAGATTATTAATGTTTACATGTCTGACCTCTCAGTAAAAAGTCTTTAAGTTTATGTTTAAAAAGGACCCAGTTTGACTCTCCCTTCAGTTCTGCATTTAATGTATTCCATGTTTTGGTGCCTTGTAGAGTGAAAGCTGATTGACCGAAAGAGGTTTTGCATCTGGGTACTTGACAGTTTCCACTGTGGGCTCCTCTTGTGACTGAGCCCACAGCCTCTGAGAGGAACTACACTGTCACTCAAAACCTCAGGGGCCTGATCATGCAAGCATTTGTAAACCAGTTTTAACAGAGCAAATTTGACAAAGTTTTCGAAATTTGGCATTTTTAAATTGTTCAGACTAACACAGTGATGGGACCTGATTGGTTTTTTTATCTAAGATTTTTATAGCTCTATTATATATCATCTGAAGAGGCTTTAATGATAAATCAGTGTAGTAGTTTAACTAATAAGCTTGATTTAGAGCCAGTTAAGGTTCTACAGGCGTCCCAATCTGATCCTTTTTTTACGCCACACCCCAGCTGTTTTTTTTTTATATTTCTAGGTCAGGAATAATTAATCATAAATAATCTGTTATTGAAATAATTGTCAACTAATTTAGGTATGGAATCAAATGGTTACCTTGATTAATGGTACATAGACCCTAAAACATGTCATTTTTTGAAAGAATAACCTTCTTGCAGGTTTATTTAAGACAAAACTCTGCAAAGATAAGCCCTAAACATTTATAAACTTAAGGTATATCCAACTTTTGCATTACAGATTAAGATAACGTAAGATCACATATTGAAATCTGTGTTAGCTCCGCCTACTGTACTGATGAGATTAGCAGGTGAAGCAAGATATGCTGCAGTAGAACAACATAAACTAACCACCAGAAACCGTGATTGTTTGATTTTTAAATGTAAAATCAATTAACTGTTGTTTTTAGTTCATTTTAAAGTCTGATTGTCTGTAGAATGATCTTGCCTCCCATAGTTTCCTCTTGATTAGTATCCGCAGGACCTGACACGCCTGCTTCCTGTTTCAGATCAGGGAGCTGGAGCCTCTGCTGTGTCAGCCGGGTCACACCTCCAGGTTGGTGTGGACGTCCTCCAGTAACGCCCGGCGCTCGGCTTTCAGCATCGAGGACATCCAGCACAGACGAGGGAAGGAGCCCTACAGCTCCTCCAAATATGCTTCAGATATGCTCAGTTTGGCGCTCAACAAGCACAAGAACCAGCAGGTTAGTCTGCCACTCAGTGATGGAAGCTCTGATGTAGAACTCTGAAAATATCCCCCATGTGTGTCTTTGTGACAGGGCCTGTTCTCCTCTGTGATCTGTCCAGGCCTGGTGATGACGAACTTGACCTACGGGATCCTTCCCTCCTTCTTCTGGACTCTCATCATGCCCATAATGTGGCTGGTGGGTTACTCTTTATTTATTAGGGGTGTGGGAAATAATCGTTTTGGCGATATATCATGATATTCGGCTGCCCAATATAATATCGATCTTTCACTTCTTAGTATCGATAAAAAAAATAAAATGGTTACATAAAACATTAGGGATGCACAATATTGGGATTTTGGCCGATATCCGATATGCCGATATTTTAAAACTCATGTAGCCGATAACCGATATCGATACTGATGTTAAAGCTGGACAAAAATAAGTAGTCATTGAAAATAGCAGTTTTGTTATCCATTTCTGACACTTTGAAAAATAATATACTCAAATATATTTTCATATGCTGATATCAAATAGATTTTTAAAAACGCGGTATCGATCTATTTTACTTTCAAAATCTTGTGAAATTTCATCGTTCTGTTACAAACTCTCGTGATATTTTGCAAATTCTTGTGAGATTTTGTTAGTAAAATAGATCAATACCGCGTCAATATATCAACATATAAAAATATGGTAAAATTTCGTGAATTTTCGGGGGATTTCGTAGCATAACGATGACATATAGCAATATTTCATTAGTAAAAGAGATTGATATGGTGTTTTCAAATGGCAATATATCAGCTTATGAAGATATTGTGATATTTTAATGTATCAATATTTTTTCCCTCCTCTTTAGAAGTTTTTAAGTCTGTAAAAAAGAAGTTTTTGAGGAAGAAGAAGAAGTAGTAGTATTTTTTTTTTTAGACTTTAGAAACTCAGAAGCTGATCAAATATCGGGTTAAATATCGGTGGGCTGGCTGATGTCCGATATTCAGTTTTAAGGCCGATTATATCGTGCATCCCTATAAAACATTGATGGGAAAATGGGCTACCTCTGCACCACCACTCTGGCAGAAAGTGCTGTGGAGCCTTTTGACTGTGCGTGCAGCACCAAATCTGTATTTGAGGCAGTCACAGTGGAAGAAAACTCCAAACAACATGGATAATAATACCTAATCAATATTTTCTGATGAAAATATACAGCACTTGCTGTTTTATCTCATCATTTGATTTTGATAGCTGGGGAAAATATGGCAATATATAGTGATACTGCAATATCGTGATAATATCGTATCGTGACCCAAGTATTGCGACACGAATCGCAACACTCATGCCAATACTCACCTCTATTATTTATGCTGCATTTTCCGTCCACTCATAACTTTTTTGATATGTCTGGTTTGACCACACAGATTCGTATTTTCACCAATACCTTCACGCTGACGCCGTATAATGGAGCTGAGGCCCTGGTATGTAACCATGCTCTTAATGGTTCTCATGTGTAAAATGGAGTAAAGGTAAAAACAACGGTTCCTGCTGTTCTCTATCGCAGCACTGGCTGTTCCTTCAAAAGCCCGAGTCTCTGGATCCAAGAGCAAAGTATCACAGCCTGACATCCGGACTAGGGAAAAACTACACTGAACCCCGCAGGGTGAGTAACATGTTCTAAAGTGGTTCTGATGCAGGTCAGAAGTATTTGTTTGCCCAACTTCTGTGATTGATCCCGATTTTGAAGCACTAAACATGGAAATAAACGGGTAAATGGTTAAACTTCAGCTTTTTTTTTTGACTTATCTAAAAGGTTGACATACACACATGTGGTACGCATCTCTCATATTCATTTCAAGCTTTTAATAATGCTTTTATTTTGGCTTGGAAAAATGACACAACTGAATCGAAAACAAGATTTTGCTACAAAACTAAGCAACGTGATGGGAGCTGAAATATGGCTCCTCCTATGTGGAAATGCAATACAGTGAAAACAAACCTCTAAAAGAAAAATCTCTTAACAGCAACACAGAGAATCACAACCTTACCGTAGGCTTTTAATGAGGCCTGATTGGGGAATATGCAAAATCAAGCATTTTTTTAGATTATTAAATTATCTCAAAGCAGCAGCAGACAAATCAACAATAAACCCATGTTTTCCAAAGACAGAGGAGGAATAATAATGGACACAGACATGTTGGTTGTTAGTGAAGTTGTTGCCTGAAACGCATCAGAGTGAATAAAGGACAGACATGAGAGGAGGGGGGGAAATTAAGAATCTATTTATCAGGCTGTATATCGATATTTAAAGCCCATTGCAGCATGTTGCCTTCTATAAAGTTTCTTTAAACAAAGAAAACATTGTATTTATTGTAATATAATTGATGAACTGTCCTAGACTACCTTTTGGTTTTTGAAAGAATTAACTGTCTTTAATCCTCTACATACTTTGGGTAATATTTTCCTGCATTACATTCTCCCCACTGACAACATTCAGCCTTTTATTATAAAACTCCAACGTTAGGCCTTCCTAATGCAAAACCCTGATAATGTTGTCAGCATGCTCTCCTGCAGGGGAGGGCTGTTTCACCTTGGGACGAATCAATTTCGCTGATTGGTTAGCTACCGACGAGCCTTTAAGGCTGTTTCGGCTATTAAGCATGGTGGTGGTGGCATCATGCTGAGAGCCTGATTTGTTGTCAGTCGTACTGATTCGGTGCGCAGGGTGGGTTAAAGGTAACCTGACAACAGCCAGATGCATGTCTAGCTCCGCCTAGCTCCTCTCACATACATCTGGGACACCGCTCATTGAAAGTGATTTCCCCAACCAAATTTATGGTCTGGCCAATCAGGACGCAGGGCGGGTGTTTCCTGGATGTGACGTAGTGGAGAAGCGAGTTCTGTAAGTGGTTCGTCTATACTTTTTTGGTTGGCTTCTTTTTTTTAAATAAGTCTGCTGTGCACAATGTTGCCTTTTATCCGCACATTTTCATGGCACAAACGACATTGATCATTTACCGACATTGCGCTGATTCCACTGTTGCTATATCCAAGATGTCGGCTGTTCTGTTTTGTTTTTTTCCTGCGTAGCTCTCACAGCATCCCGGTTAGCTTCGGTGTGAGTGGTTGAAATAGCACGTCGATAAAGATGACAGACAAGTGGCTTATCCAATCATATGCAAGGAGTTTTGATAAGGCCCAGCCTTCAGTAAAGGCAATTCCTATGGCGGTGTTCCAGATGTATGTGAGTGGAGCTAGGCGGAGCTAGACATGCATCTGGCTGTTGTCAGGTTAGGTTAAAGGTGCATAGTCACATTATTTGACATTTTTTAAACGTACAGGTGCTGGTCATAAAATTAGAATATCATGAAAAAGTAGATTGATTTCAGTAATTCCATTTAAAAAGTTAAACTTGTATATTATATTCATACATTACATACAAACTCATATATTTCAGATGTTTATTTTGTTTAATTTTGATGATTACAAATGACAACAAATGAAAATCTCAAATTCATCATATCAGAAAATTTGAATATTGTGAAAAGGTTCAAAATTGATGGCCCCCGGTGCCACACTCTAATCAGCTAATTAACTCAAACCACCTGCAAAAGCCTTTAAATGGTCTTTCAGTCTAGTTCTATAGGCTACACAATCATGGGGAAGACTGCTGACTTGACAGTTGTCCAAAAGACGACCATCGACACCTTGCACAAGGAGGGCAAGACACAAAAGGTCATCGCTAAAGAGGCTGGCTGTTCACAGAGCTCAGTGTCCAAGCACATTAATAGAGAGGCGAAGGGAAGGAAAAGATGTGGTCGAAAAAAGTGTACAAGCAAGAGAGATAACCGCACCCTGGAGAGGATTGTGAAACAAAACCCCTTCAAAAATGTGGGGGAGATTCACAAAGAGTGGACTGCAGCTGGAGTGAGTGCTTCAAGAACCACCACACACAGACGTATGAAAGACATGGGTTTCTGCTGTCGCATTCCTTCTGTCAAGCCACTCTTGAACCACAGACAGCGTCAGAAGCGTCTTGCCTGGGCTAAAGAGAAACAGGACTGGACTGCTGGTGAGTGGTCCAAAGTCATGTTCTCTGATGAAAGTAAATTTTGCATTTCCTTTGGAAATCAAGGTCCCAGAGTCTGGAGGAAAAGAAGAGAGGCACTTCATCCACGTTGCTTGAAGTCCAGTGTAAAGTTTCCACAGTCAGTGATGGTTTGGGGTGCCATGTCATCTGCTGGTGTTGGTCCATTGTGTTTTCTGAGGTCCAGGGTCAACGCAGCCACATACCAGGAAGTTTTAGAGCACTTCATGCTTCCTGCAGCTGACCAACTTTTTGGAGATGCAGATTTCATTTTCCAACAGGACTTGGCACCTGCACACAGTGCCAAAGCTACCAGTACCTGGTTGAAGGACCATGGTATCCCTGTTCTTAATTGGCCAGCAAACTCTCCTGACCTTAACCCCATAGAAAATCTATGGGGTATTGTGAAGAAGAAGATGCAATACACCAGACCCAACAATTCAGAAGAGCTAAAAGCCACTATTAGAGCAACCTGGGCTATCATAACACCTGAGCAGTGCCACAGACTGATCGACTCCATGCCACGCCGCATTGCTGCAGTAATACAGGCCAAAGGAGGCCCAACTAAATACTGAGTGCTGTACATGCTCATACTTTTCATGTTCATACTTTTCAGTTGGCCAACATTTCTATAAATCCTTTGTTTTTATTGGTCTTCAGTAATATTCTAATTTTCTGATATGATGAATTTGAGATTTTCATTTGTTGTCATTTGTAATCATCAAAATTAAACAAAATAAACATCTGAAATATATGAGTTTGTATGTAATGTATGAATATAATATACAAGTTTCACTTTTTAAATGGAATTACTGAAATCAATCTACTTTTTCATGATATTCTAATTTTATGACCAGCACCTGTATATGCTAGCTGCTAACTCTGGTTGCATACAGAGCAGTGGCGGCTGGCCAATAGAGGGCGCTAGGGCGCCGCCCCTCCCACCTAATGACCCTGATGAACACATAAAAAAATATATATATACTTTTTTCTAATTTAATTTTAGATTAATATTGTAAAATATTTCAAAATATATTGATATATATTTTTAGATGTGCAAGATAAATATTTCACCTTTAATGAGGAGTAAAGCGTCACTTCATTTTTCGTCGGATTGGTGACGTATTTCCGCCCTAGGGGGCACAAATCTTTGCCCATTGACTCTCGTTAAAAGTTGTACATGCACAGTAGCTCCTCTGAAATACTGAGGTATAGGAGAGCAAACCAATATCTAATTTTTTTTGCACCAAACGAAACGAAAATGTCCATGGACATAAAGGCTTAACTTTGAGAGCAGATGATGTAACAACTGAATAGATGAGAGGGTCTCGCTCCAGGACTGAAGACGCACTAATACCGCCTAATCAGCTTCATTTTAACCCACCCCAGTTCCATGGTAACATTTTACAAGCTGGATGTGTTATCCAAAAGGCTTCGAATCAAGTGATGACAACAGTTGCCATGGAGATCAGTTGACGGCTCATTTTATGTTTCGGAAAATCGTCCATCGACATGATCCGACCCAGATTTCTTTAAATGTTCTGTGTACTTAATCCACAGACAAACATCTGAATATAAAGTTTCCTCTGAGTAAAATCAAATACATTTTACATTGTTTTGGACGTATGAACAGCATATGTGAATGCAGGGCAGAGGAACTCTTTGGTTTTTGTCTTGTTTTTTCTATAGTGCAAGAAAAAATAATAATAATCAGAATTCAGATGATGGTTTGTTATCCATTTTCTGGTTTTCTGTCCAAAAAAACCCTTAAAAATATCAGTGTGTTTTTCTGTTTTTCATTTTTGGTTTCAAACAAAAGAGCAAACTACTGTAAATACACACCTGCAATGGGAATTGAACCTTATTTTATCAGGATTATAGGGTTTTTGTACTTTTTTTGTAATGTAATATAACTTAACTTTATACATTTGATAGCAGATTTTGTTCCAGGAAACCAATCATCATATATCAAGTACCTTGTTTTAGGTTTTCTCTGTAACACCCTCAATATTAGTGGATTAGTGAGGGTATATCTACGTATTTAGGCCTCCATTTATAACTAAACCTTCTGTGGTTTAGAGGAATGCTTCAATAAATTTTAACAACTGCATCTTGTTTTTATAAAATAACTGAAGTTTCATGTTTTGTTTCTATTTCACCTTTGATTTTTTTAATGTATGATGTAAAACATTCAAATTAATCATGACTTTTTAGGTTCTTAATCTTTTCTTCAACTCTTTCCTACCAGAGCAACCATTACTTAGAGGCTTTCTGGTGAAAGAAGCTCAGCTGCTCCTCAGCCTCTGATGTTTTTAAGTCATTCTTTGTGGAGCATTTGGTCTGAAAGAATAAATGCACTGGAACAACGATCTAGAAATTTGCCGCCCTTAATTTGAGTAGGTAAATGAGGTAGTTTGCCAATGGAATGATTATTTTTACTCTTAAAACAAGATGTTTAGATAAAATGCACTTGAAATAAGACAATGCAATTTTGTTTTCTTATTTTAAATGTAAATTGTCTTGTTCCATTGGCAAAATGTCTCTTTTACCTCCTCAATCCAAGAACAAATGCACTTATTATTAGGAAAAAAAAAGACTTATCTAGATTTAGATTTTTCTCCAGTGTGTTGGAATGTTTTAATCTTGACAAATGTCGTCTTATACCAGAGTTTTCTTCTTGCTTTTGTGTTCCAGATGGACCTTGACGATGAAATGACAGAGGTCTTCTATTCAAAGCTTGTTGAGCTGGAGAAAGCAGTCAGAAGACAGCAGAGGGAGAGAACAGCCGACAGCAAACATTATCAGCAGTATCTCAATGAGATACAGTAGTTTTTCCTCTGTGGAAATGTTAATGTAACGACTGCTTTTAGCTCTCTTTGCCAGATCAAACAGGAAAAGATTTTATATTTTCTGTAGATTGAACTTCCTTCAACTCATCAAAATGTGCAGAAATAAATTCATATTGTTTTTCTCAAAGTTCAGCTTATTTCACTTGGAGATATATTGAAAAATAACATGTTAGAAGAAAAAACAACAGCATACATTTAAGATTAACAAAGCTTATATGAAAATTTTTATAGTCACTGGATCACAATAATGGAGGATAACCAAAGGAACCTCTTTCATGCATCATAACAAGTGGAGTGAGGAAAAATCTGCAGAGATTTTAGTTTCAGCTTTTTACCAACAGTCTCCATATCAAAAATTTTATTTTTCAAAAGTCCTGGGGGCCTTTTCATAACGGCCGGTGTTATAAAATCCTCTGAAATAAAGCCTTGTTAAAAAACTGTTCCAGTAAACTGAATTTAGTTCAGCTTTCAGTATTTTTAATTTTTGGGTGGTGATTTGATCCCAACTGAAGCCCAAATCCACAGAAATGGTTCAGCAAACTCAGAATCGGGCGTCTATGAAAAGTCTGTGGGCAAAACTACTAAAAGATAGAACTCCTGTGGATGATTCAGCTCAACGTTCAGAGGTTCTACATGTAAAATGTTTATAGAAGTGTTTTCCAATTTCCAGCAGAGGGGGAGTAATAACCACGGGTCATTTTATTTAAAAAACAATTTCTTATTGTTTAATATTTCTATGCCTTTTTAAATTTGGTAAATAAGGTGGCAAAGGCATTTTTTAAAGTCAAAATAATTGGTGAAAATTAAAATGACAAGGTAACATCAGGTAAAGTGAGATTAATGCTTTTATTTCAAATATATAAGCTCTTATTATACAGCTTACAGCTTTTAGTTTAACTTCAGGGTTGAAGGTGTAGCGACACCTAGTGGCCAAAATTGTGATGTGAATTTTTTTTATCTTTTTTGTTTCTTTTAAAGCTACAGTGTGTAATTTTCAGCGACATCTAACGTGCAGACTGCAGCAACATGAACGTCTCCCCCCCACCGCTTCCCCCCCCCAACAGTACGGCGAGCGTTACGGGACAAAATGTCTTCCACGACGTCCGCATCACCTACCTTCTCAAGTGATGAGGTTTGTTTACATAGATAATTTTACAGATAGTATTTCATTAGTCTGTGTAGGGTATAGATTTCATGTAGACTTTAGATAATAAATATACCCGTTATTTTTTCTACATCGTTGTGACGTTTTGGTGAGCTGCTTTGCATGGTGATATAAACAGACGAAGTAATTGTAGTCATTAGTTTAACAGCGAGATTGTGTTCGCTGGAAGAATATATATTCCCCGTTTACAGAGTCCAAGTTTTGTTTGTGGCACGGGGGTTACAAGGCGAGGAAGAGGGAGAGGAAGAGGGCAGAGAGGCTGGGGTGGGCGTGCAGCCAGGGCCAGGCGAGGGAGAGGTGCCAGCGGGGAGGAAAGGCTTGAAGATCTCCAAAGGAGCCGGAGAGAAGTAACCGAGGTATATATCCAGAAAATTATTTTACAGAAAATAACTGAATCATTACCTGTGAAACGTCAGGGACGTTGCTGAATAAGTATACTGGAGAGTAACAGCATCATCACGCAGCATGTTATTGTTTTAGACAGGTCTGAGCATCCTGTACTCCAAAAACTGCAGTGATATTAGACAATTGTGTGTGTAGGATTAATTACCTGTCCAAGAGAAAACTGGCAACTTGAGCGTCACTTTGAAAACCTTTTTCCTCCATCAGTGACTTCCATCGTGTAAATGCCGTGCCAATGTTGATCCGTGTTTTTTGTCATTTCTTGTCACGCTTGCGTTTATTCTCGTCGTGTTTCCGCTTCTTAGATGACGGGGGTTCGGTGTCCGCCGCTTTTCGTTGTGATACAGAGTAGGCATGATCCTCCATTCGTCTGATGTTTGGCCACACAGTGCCAAACAGTTTGCAAAGTCACTCACGCCTGCCGCCTTGTTCACCTTTCTTGTTACTGAGGCGCAGTATACCTGCTTCTTCTTCTTCTTTGGTTTCAGGCAGACTAAACGCTTCTCAGGCATAATACTGCCATCTACTGTTCAGTACCGTCTCAGTTAATCTCTCTCAACTTGCCGTAGTTATTTTTGAGCGTAATGGGAGATCTCGCAATCGTTAGTTTGTTGCCTCTGCGCTTGCCGTAGCGCAAAGATGTCTGCCCCCATGGCTGCGAGACCCGCTCCTATGTAATTATAAATAACGAATTCTAAGGCAACGCAAATATTATGGTTAAAAGGCTGAGCTCATAGGTGATGATAAATAACATAGTTATGTATAATATATTAAATTTCTGACTTTATATCCCTGTAATTATTACACACTGTAGCTTTAATTTCTAATATTCTTGTAGATATTGTCATTATGAAATCTTTGTAAATATTTAAAATATATTAAATAATATTTAAAAAAGAACAGCAACAGAGTAAAATAAAATGTCACATTTGTGGTGAGTTGTGCTGTTTTTTGAAAGCCACTGAGGGCACTAGAGGGGAGTTTTGGGATGGGTGTTGCAATATGATACGTGTCACAATACTTGGGTCACTAGACGATATATTGCAATATCACCATATCAGAAAACCTAAATTACTATGGAATGACTGTGACCTGGATGACTGAGAATATGCACCAGCCATATCACCATATATGTTCATCAGATGATATTGATCGTTCAGTTGGTATCCATGTTGCTTGGGGTTTGAATCAGTCCACGTCTTCCACTGTGACTGCCTCAACTGCAGATATAGTGCTGCGCCGCACAGCTAATGGGCTCCACAGCACTATCTGTCAGAGTTGCAGTACAAAGGTAGGCCATTTTCCTAGATGTTCGAAATCTGCCTGTTTTTCAGTGTAGTCCTGTTTCTCTGACTGTGACTGGCTGGATGTGCTCTCTTCGTCCTCTGGCGTAGGAGCTGGCTCGGAGCTCGTCTGTCTCTTTCCTGGACGGGGCCGCCTTGTACAGCTGCTTTTTGTATCTCTGCTTCTGTCTCCTTGAAGCCCAGTCGGCCTCAGCAGATGGCCGCTCACACTCAGCCTGGTTCTGCTGGAGGTTTCTTCCTGTTAAAACGGACTTTTTCCTCTCCACTGTCGATACAAGCATGCTCGGTGTGAGGGACTAAATTTGAGTCGATGCAATCACACTGCAAAAAATCTCAATCTAAATAAGTCATTTTTTCTTAAAATAAGTGCATTTGTTCTTGAATTGAGGAGATAAAAGAGACATTCTGCCAATGGAACAAGACAATTTAGATTTAAAATAAGAAAACACAATTGCATTTTTTATTTTCAAGTGACTATTATCTAATTATCTTATTTTAAGAGTAAAAATACTGATTCCATTGGCAAACTATTTCATTTACCTACTTAAATCAAGGGTAAATACACTTAATTCAAGATTTTTTTAATTATTTCTAGATTGTTTATCCAGTGCAACTGGTTTTCCTTAGATAGAAAACTTTGAATCAATTTGACTGGATGATCTGGTGAACTTTAAAGTGCCTTGAGATTAAGTGTTTTGAATTAATTTATATAAATGTCGTTTATATAAATAACATGAATTGAATTTTCTCTTAGTTTAAGTAAAAATGTTTTGCTTTAAAATAAATTAATACTAGGAACTAAAAGATCGATATATCAGACAGCCATAAAATCATGATATATTGCCAAAAACATTTTTTCCACACCCCTTGAGGGCACCCAGTACTTGAGGGCCCCATTGGTGCACTTCAAGCACCACGTTGGTGACCCTGCGTCTAAAGACTATCAGTAGTCAAATGGTGTATCCAGTTGATACAGTAATCTGCATTGGTATTAACATGTAATAAAAGGTAGATATCCTGAACTTGAAACTAAACATTATATAGAAGGTCTCCTGCCCTAACATGACTATGAAGCTAATGCCAGTGGGAAATTAGTCCCTAACTATGTAGGGGCACTGCAGTTCTACTGTACTTGGCCAAGGGCAATGACCGGTGTACCTGACATGTATAGTGCTTTAGGTTAATAGACTATGTTAATTAGGCTAAGTATGCTTCCATAAAACAAAATCCACCATCCCCCTACAACTAGACTACTGCCTATGTAAGTGTGTTAGAAAATGATAATTACTGTGACATTGTGACCATAATGAAGTGAAAAACTGGCCCTTCATTTTATATATTGGCTGGTTACTGGTGAAGTGACTTTGGCGACATGTTTTCCACACTTTTGTATCTTTGATTAGGGGTCCTGTTAAAAAAAAAACATCAACTAGACATTTAAAGCTGGAGATGACATACCCTTTTTTTATTTAAATAATAAAAACAACAGTGAAATCAGAAGTTGCTGTTGACCTCTTCAGTGTATTCCCTGCATTTTCCAGCACAAAACCTCCAACTACTGAGCCGCTCTGCCACTCCTCCTCCATCTTGGTTTACAAAGCTTCTGTAAATCTCTGAGCAGACCCGCCTCTCTTCCCGCTGACACGCTAAACTTCACTATAATTAGAATATTTCTGAAGGGAGGGGGGAGACTCCGTCACGATTGTAAATAAACACACGGACTCCACCGCGTGCTCAGAGTGGCGCGCGCCGCTCGGTGTCCCGGATGATGCTCGCACCGGAAGAGAAGGGGGCAGCTCTCTCAGCCATCTTGTGGCAGCATCCAGCGATTCGGTCGCATCAAGCCTCGTAGAATCGGAGGTGAATCCCGTCGAAGGGGCGCCATCATGCCCGGACACTTGCAAGAAGGCTTCGGCTGCGTCGTGACCAACAGGTTCGACCAGCTATTGGACGACGAGTCCGACCCGTTCGAGATCCTGAAAGCCGCTGAAAACAAGAAGAAGGAGGCGGCCGCCGCTGGCTCTACGAAAACCGCGGCTCAAGCCGCAAAGCAGCCGAAGAAGGAGTCCCAGAAGGACAGGAAAAACCCGCTGCTGGACAAAAAGGAGGAGTCTCAGGCGCCGGTTCCTCTGAAGAAAGAAGGTAATAGTTTATTTTTTATTCTCGGCTGTCATGTGCGGCTTTGCTTAGCAACGTTAGGAGCTGCTGAGGTCAACATGGACCCTGGGCTGTTGTGTTTAGAGGACAGACGGATGA